AATCTTCCAAGCTTTCTTCACCTTCAAAAGCAGGGAATCAGATAACCTTCTCAAGGATTGGCTTGTCAACAAAGCTCTTAAAAACGATGTGTGGACTATGTCAAAACGAGGAAATGTTTATGTGAAACAATGTGTTAACAACATAGATAAAAGAAATGAGGATGAAAATAGCACCTATTATAGGACTGGTGTGGGACTCAAGATAATATTTGTAAAGCATTTGGCACAGTGCCAGAAAAAGTAAGCACTGTATAAAAGCTAGCTATTATTATTATAATACATAAGGCACTTTGCAATTTTTTATTTTGTTATAATTCCTCTGGAAATGATGATGATGATGATGATAGCTAGAATTTGTATAGCACTTTAAGATTTGCCATGTACGTATATATGCAGCATATATAAAAACACATGTATGTATATATAACACAATATTACAATAATTAGCTTATTTTAAGTCTTGGGGGCATGCAAAGTCCGTGTGGTTTTCTTCTCTTCAGTTTTAGGGAGAATATTTTAGATGAAAAGTTATATATTCAGTCATAATTGCTCCAAGCTCCTAGGCAAGAAAATTCCTAATATTTAGGCAGAGATTGGACTATTTGCCTAACTCTTCATATATGTACATATGTTAACTATTAATATAGTGTAATATAGTTAATATTTAATAATGTACAGGAATGTTTTACATATACACATATAGTTAACCCATAGCCTCTTTATGATTTAGGCAAAAATCAGTTTGCTAGAAATATGAAGTGCGCAGGCCCTGTTCACACTTGGTTCTGATTAATTGATTGAATCAAGAAGTATTCTTACTTAGCAAAAGCAGTGACTTTTAATTAGCTGAGGTAATCAATGGAGTCTGACCCTTACTCAGATTAATAAAGATCAAAAGATAATTTCACAGAACCACAGAGATTTAGAGCTGGGAGAGATATCACAGTGGGCAAAATAGTCCAATCTGTAAGGGGTAACTAGGTTAGAGTTTAATGCTATATTTTTTCCTGTATATTTTCTCCAGTTTTGTAATTTTAAAACATAATTGTGAGGAGGAAAAAAAGATTCCTAAACTTCCTGCCTCTCCTCGCCTCTGTCCCCTTACACCTGTTCTTAATCTAGACTCAATAAACTCTCCAGTATTCTGGAGGGTGGTCATGTCTGGCTTCCCTAGCAGAGGAGTGTATATAATAATAACAGCTGATATTTATATAGCATCTTAAGGTTTGGAAATCGCTTTGGGAATCAATCAGCTATGCCAAACTGTCTCTTATATATAGGGAATTATCTCTATGATTCTTTTTAGAGGTACCATGCCATTTCCCCTTTTCTAGTGAAAATGGAGATTAGCCCTTTTTCCCACTTCCTCAAGAGTGCAAAACCATTCTGCCCTACCCTTGCCCCCACACCCTGCCACATCATCCTATGTCCTCATGTACTATGCCAGGAATGTTGCTAGGGAAGATCAGGGATATGACTCAAACAGAATGCTGCAGGGAAGGGGGTGGGGGTGCTGCCTCACTGAAGAGCATACCGGCCCTGCATGAGTCAAGGTTGAGAAGGAGGAATCCCTCATTATGCCCTTGCCCATTTTCTGACCCCTCTTATTTAGTTATGAATATATAATTACTCTTTAAGGTGATTTATTTTCTCATGCATGGAGAGAAAACAGATTTCCAGCGCCAGCATGAATCTAGAAGATGGAGGCCCTCAAGAGAGCTGGCCTTCATTATCCAAATCCTACTCTCTCTTGGATCTAGATGTATTGCTGAGGGTGATTGGGTTTCCTTCATATGGCTGGATTCCATGTTGGTCAGACTCATGGGGATATGTCCAATTTTAATTTAATTTCAGCTTTATTCTCATAACTGCTGGTTATAGAAGTGACTCATCGTATGAAAGTAACCCTAGGTTCCTTGCGGAGGTAATGTCTTCTCTGGAAGAATTTTCCTAGGAATGTAGTGGCCATTTTCAAAGTCTCCTACACTCCTAGCAGTTCATAGAATCATATCCGACCCTCTCCTTTTACAGATGAAATAATAGAACCATAGAAACACAATGTATGGGCAGCTGGGTGGTACAGTAGATAGAACATCAGGCCTGGATTCAGGAAGACTCATATTCCTGGGTTCAAATGTGGCCTCAGACATTTACTAGCTGTGTGACCCTTGGCAAGTCATTTAACCCTGTTTGCCTCACTTTCCTTATCTTTCAAATGAATTGGAGAAGGAAATGGCAAACCACTCCAGTATCTTTGCGAAGAAAACCCTAAATGGGGTCATGAAGATTCAGACATGACTGAACAAGAACAGAAAGGTTAAATAATTTAGTCAAAGCCACTTAGCTAGTCCGGCTAGGACTATAACTCAAGTCCCCTGCCTAACTCTAAATTCAGATATTTTTCCAATATACCAAACTACCTTCCCTCTTCTCTCCTTTGGTACAGCTTTGGGCAGGGCAACCTAGTATCTGGGGGGAAACCAAAACAAACAAACAAAACCAAAAAGTCCAGTAGATGGCAGCAGGGAGCAATGACTATAGTTCTTGACTTCTAGACATAAGAGATAGCAAAGTTCTGGGAGTGCTTACTGGTTGACCAAAATGACATCACCATGTTAGAGTCAAGTTACAATGCGTCGGATTGTGGTTGCTCAGACCTATTTGAGCTCCGAATGTTCTACCACATGTCGGGCACAAATAGTTCATGTGAATATTTGGGGTGGATTCTCTAAATTTGTGCTTCTTGAATTTCTTTTGAGCTACTTCAATTCTGCTTTGCTCGTAGAGCATAGCACCTTGTCTGATAAGGGCACACCATGCTGGGTGGTCCTGTGCCAGTGTCTCCCATGTCACAAATCAATTCCAAAGTTCTTTTTTGTTTGTTTTGCTTTGTTTTTCTTTAATTAATCAATTTATTTATTTGTTTTTAGTTTTCAACATTCACTTTTATAAGATTTTGAGTTCTAAAATTTCCCCCCTCCCTCTTCTGCCTCCTTCCCCAGACATCATGCAATCTGATACATGTACAATCATCTTAAATATATTTCCACATTAGTCATGTTATGAAAGAAGAATCAGAACAAAAGGGAAAAACCGCAAAAAAAGAATGACAAAAAATCAAGAAGAGAAAATAGTATGCTTCAATCTGCATTCTGCAGTTCTTTCTCTGGATGTGGATAGCATTTTCCATCATAAATCTTTTAGCAATTCCAAAGTTCTTAAGAAAGATCTTGAGAGTGGCCCTCTATCACTTTTTTTTTTGTGTGTGTGAGGTAATTGGGGTTAAGTGCTTGTCCGAGTCACAGCCAGTAAGTGTTATGTGTCTGAGTCTGATTTGAACTCAGGTCCTCCTGACTCCAGGGCCTGTATGCTATCCACTTCGCCATCTAGCTGCCCTCTTTATATTGCTTCTTCAGACCCTCATGTGAGTACTTACCTTGTGTCAGCTCTCCATAAAATAGTCTTTTAGGGCAAGCTTACATTTGGCATTCAAACAACGTGGCCAGCCCTTTGGAGTTGCGCTTGTATAGTAGCATTTGAATGCTTGGCAGTTTAGTTTGAGAATGGACCTCAGTGTCTGGTATCTTATCCTGCCAGGTGATCTTCAGAATCTTCCTAAGATAATTCAAATGGAAGAGATTGTGTTTCCTGGCATGGCAATAGTAGACTGTCCAGGTTTCACAGGCATACAACAGTCTGCACAACAGCTCTGTAGGCCTTCAGTTTGGTAGTCAGTCTAATACCTCTTCTCTCCCACTCTTTCCTTCAGAGCTTCCCAAACACTGAGCTAGCTCTGGCAATGCGTGCTTCAACCTCATTATCAGTATGTACATCCCTAGAAAGTATATTGCCAAGGTAAGCTTATATAATTCATGGGGTGCATATATGTATGGGGCAGATACCCATGCCCTTCTAGCCCTGACATTCTTTCCCCAAGAGAAGGCTAAAGAACTGAAACATTAAAATGGAGATAGGGAAGAAATCACCTTAAAAATATTTGAACAGGATTTCTCTCCTCTCCTCCAGAAGTACTTCTGGCAAACTTTGTTGAAACTGAACAGGGCTAATACAAAGATGACAGGATGAAAATGTCAGCTAATTCTCTGTCTTATGTGAGTAGAATGATGGCTTTTGGATGGGGTCTGATGACCTTTGATACTCCGCTGATCACCTCCTTCTGACCACCGTGACCTGCACTTGTTCAACCATTATGTGACAAGTGCTTACTACGGCACGTTTTGCTTGGCCAGTGGGGCATGGAGAAGTATGCGATTGGGTGAGCTCAGAAGCTTATGAGAGAGGCATGACAGCTTCAGGATGAGTCCAATAAACGTGTGTCGAATGAATGAACACACGTGAAGATAATCGTGGTGGACGTCAGGAGGGAGGGGACCATGTAGACGTCGGAGGTGGGGCTCTTGGAACTTGACCTGTGACCTAGCCCAAAGTTCCTAGACTTGTTAGGAATTCCCTTAGGGAGGGCTTTTTCCTCCGTCAGTGCCCTTTGACTAACTGGACGCTAACCGGACCTTCTGATTCCTAGCCCTCTCCATAGCTGGACACCCCAAATGACCCACCCCGGCCACCATAGTGTAAGAAGGCCAAGCGCATTCGGCTTTTCCTCCCCACCCCCCCAGAGCCTCCGGGGATTTGCTGGGGCGTGTGAGGCCCTCGTCATGTGACCGCCAGACGTGCTCAGATTGGCCTTGCTGTCCTGCTCCCGCCCACCGAAAGCGTAGGCTGGAACGCGGGCGAAGTAGGGAGGAGAACGGGCGCATGCGCGGGGCCCGGATATTTTTTATTTATTTATATATATATGTGTATATATATATACACATATATATATTTCCCCCCCCCCCAGACACCCAGTGTGGAGCTCCGGAGTTGGACGATAAACAACTCTCTGGGATTCGCTCAGTTGGGGACTTCTCACGCCCCCTTTTTTCTTTAGGTGTGGTTCAGCCCGAAGGCGTGGCCAAAGCGGTCCGGGCTACACCAAAGAGTTTCCAGGGTGGAGGAGGGGGAAAGAAGTTCCTGTTGAGATCTTTAAGGTGTTAGGGCCCGACAGAGGGGGAAAATCCCCCTGTGCCGGACGAATGGTGCGGTCCTGAGCCGGGTCCGGAGCCGGCCGGACGCGTCTGAGGGAGGCCCTCGGGGAGGGGGCGCCGGCCGGCGGGAAGCGGGCTAACTACGGAGTCTGTTGGGGGAGATTCGACGCCGCGAAGGGGAAAAGCCCGACCTGCGACGGAGCGAGGGCGCCGGGGTCGGGGGGAGGGGGCTCCCAAGATGGCGTCGTCGTCCGGGTCGTCGACGCTGGGGACTACCTCCTTGGAGTTGGGCAGCAGTAGCTGCTCCTCCAGTTTAGGTGAGAAGGAAGTCGGGTGGGGAGGCCCGCCAGCGGGGTGCGGGGGCCTTGGGTTGGGGAGGACCCGAAAAGGGGCTGGAGCCGGGAGCGGTACGGAGTCTCGGGGGAGGGGACCGAGAGCAGGGACCCGCGGCTGGGAAAGTTCAGAGTCAGGGGAGGAATCGAGGGGAGCGTTTGTGTGTGGGGGTGGTGGCCGGCCTCTTATTTGGGAGGCGCAGAGAAACACACACGTAGGACCCCAAAAAGAACGAAGGGGGGCGGGGGAGGCAGGGGACGTAAGGCTCGACGCGGCTGAAGAGTTGGTGGCCGTGGCTGTGGGTGCCCGAAAGCAGGGGAAAGAACCCCCCCTAGGAGTGCGAGAAATCGGGGTCTCCAAAAGAGGGTCTGAGAAGCAAAGGTGGGGCCTCAGGTTGCACCCAAGTTTGGGGAGTGTGGCTTGCGAAAGGATGGGCAAAGTGCCTTTGGGGGTCCGGGGGGAGGGGTCGAGGCTTGGTAAAGGAGGCCACTGAAGAGGGGGTCTCGGGACAGGCAGAAGAACTTGAGGGAGATTGGGAGTGGGCTGAGCATCAGGATGTGAGGAGCCCAGAAGAAAAAACAGCAGAGCGTATGTGGGAGGGAAAGTGTGTGTGGTGTTGGGGGAGGAAGGGGATGTGAGTCAGGGATTGGAAAGGGATGGTGCAAAGGGCTGGGGATTGATGAAAAATCTTTAAGAAAACTTTTGGTGGGAGTACCCTCTTTAGAAATATATGATATGGAATGGGAATTGTTGCCACCTCCAGTGAGTTGGGAATGCTGCTCTAACCAAAATCTGCCTTCAATGGTTACTGGTGATGTCCATGAGCTGATTGCCACTTCTTGTCTTCCTCTCCCCTTCCCCCCCCTTCCTATTTTGAATAGATCAGTTGGTTTTTAGGGACCTAGCTTTCACATTCTTAATGAGCTGAATGGCTGAGTATAAAGCTTAGACATTGCATTAGTCGATGTTTTATTTATGTTGCACATATTTTGGGGAGTCACTTTGAGCTTGAGGAGGGACACTTGGAAAATGACTGCCTTCTGTCCTTGGCTGGAGGTCTGATCCCCTAAGTAGAGATGGGAAAAATAGAATAGTTATATGTGGTCTTTAATCAGACTTGTCATTAATTAGCTAGAAAAAAGTGGGGTCTGTTACTACTGGATTACCTGTGAGAGCTTATGTTTGTGTTCCAAAACTTTGATTAAGACTTTTCTGGAGAGATTGACCAGATGGATAGGTTTAACAGTAAGGAGGAAACATCTGTTTGTCACTTAATGATACTTTTCCCTCTATCCTCACTCCTCTTTTCCTGCTACAAAGAATCCTAATTCTAGCCTTCCTCGATTTTACTAGTTTACATCTCTTAACCTTGTGGGCCTTGTGTCCTATGGTCAGTGTTGTGTCTTCTGTCAGCTGGAAGTTAAAAAAAGAAATGTTTATGTATTGTTAACTCTCCTGTTTTTACCAGAAAGTCACTCCTTAGATTTGGGTTGTATTTTGCCACACTGTGTTTTAATCGGTATGAAATATTCAGCTTAAAATTGTACATCTTTTTTTAAAAAGTACTTTGTGTAATTATATCATTTCTTCTTTCCCTTTCTTTTCTCTGGTAAGTTATTTAAGAAGTTGCAACCAAACTATTTTTACTTTTAAAATTATTTTGCTTCCCATAATGTGTCTGAAAACTTGAGGTGAATGGCATGCTTTTGCCCAAATGTAGTGTGATGCATTTTTATGTATTTAAATGTATATGGGTACTTTTGGTTTTAATCTAATGGTTTCTTTTCCTCCGTGGATATGTTTTTCAGAAAGTTGATCCTAGTGCCAGAAAGCTAATAAGAAAGAGATTTTGTGTAATTGGAGAAGATAATTGTATCTCTGGCTCCAGGGGAATTAGGAAATTGACACAAATAGGGGATAACTTATGATTTCCTGAATATTTATGAGATGACATTCTGGGGACACAACATGTGTTCCTTTTTTCCCTGAAATAAACTGATCATTCCTTCATTTTGATACTCTTTATTCTTGCATTTAAACAGTGTTAACATTTCAGTAAAACTCTGGAGTTCCACAGGCAATGTTTTCTAGCAAGACTAAAACTGAAGTGAAGGGAGTAGGCTTTGGGTGACCCTTAGAGAGGAGCCACCCTTCAATCGGTGGGTGTTCAAAAGCTTTGCCATCCCTGTCAGGAAGGGCCAATGTTAAAGAGCCAGTCTCCATCATTATTAAAACTATTTCAGAATTTAGTCTCCTGCCTGCTCTCAGATTGTTTGCCCATCAGGACTGGGCTGCTCCCTAATGATTAGTTAACAAACTGAAATACAGGGTGTAGCAAATCTTAAGCTGTAAGAGTTGCTTAACATCTCTTCCTAGTGGGGTAATTAACATGTTTGGATTTTGGGAAGACAGTGACTGGTAAATATCTTAAATCAGCCACTATCAGGTTCATTCTTACATTTTGTTAATGAGTAGTGGAAGAGTTTGTCATTTTTGTTGAACTTTTTGGTTTGTATGAGAGATTTTCCCCTTCCCTCCAGTCTTTGTTATTTGGGACAATGACACTATCTTAATAAAATTAAAGATGATGTGTAGGGGCTGACAATGTGCAGCATCTGTATCCTAATCTTTGTTTCCAGCTTGTCTTAGTCCACCAAGGCACTGAAATACACTACCTAGCCTGGAACCTTCACTCTGTTATTGAAAGGAGTCAGATCTTTCCTCTTCTTGGCTTGATTTGGAGGTTAGTGGAATCAGGTCACCTGAAATAAACATAGACCAATAAAGTGAAGTCTGAATTCTGTGGACACACATTTTATTTCTTAGATACCCATGAACTATAGCTCTTTTTGATTCCTGAAGGGCCAGAACAGCAGTCTCATTTGGTGAGCAGTGCTGTCTAAACAGTCATCACAATGTATGTCTGAAATTGTCACCATTCCCTTTTGCATATCAGGAATACTAAGTGACCTGCTCTACTCTTGATTCCATTCAGTCCTCTCTCTTTGTAACCATCAAGTAAAAAAACCCCAGAGGACATGACATTGGGTCACTTTTGTCTGGAACTTTTTCGTTGAGGCCCACTCATCCATCTGTGGCTGTGATGCCTTTGTTCTCTTGAGCTGTGCCCAACCAGTAAACTGTGCTGTAATCTGATAACCCCATAGTGCAACCATTCTTGTGGAGAAATCTTTTTGTCTGTGTTCATTGTATACATCGTTAGTGATTTCTAGGCCTACCTGACAGACTCTCTCTTCTTTCTGTTTTGCTTTCTTATGAGTGACTAGGAGGTTAGACTTAAGTGAGCCATCTAGTTAGTGAAACCTAAGGGGGGAAATTAAATTTGTAAATGTATACTATCTAGAACTTAATCAAGTGCACTTACTTTTAGAGATCTACTTTAGGTCTCTATTCTCCCTCTAATCCTACATAGGTATCAACTTTTTTTACAGACACTGGAATTTTGAGGGTGGAAAAGGTTTTTTGTTTATTTGTTTGTTTCTTTTTTTAAAGGAAGGGCAATAATTGTCGATGGAGAAGTTTGGTTCCTTTTCCTTGTTGGTATAGAAGAGCATTAAAAGAAATGCAGATTTGGTATTAGGTTTCCATTGCTTCTGACTTAACCATTTATACATTATGGTTCTTATGTTCATTGACAGGTTTAATGAATCAATCCTGCATACACCAAGTACCTGATATTGATTAGAAACTTGTGCACTAGGTGTGAGTGCTAGAGTATCCTGCTATGCTTTTTATTTTTATTTTTGGCCCAGTTGATGGTCTTTGTAGGCTTTTTTTGAGTTGATATAAAATTGCTGATAATACCTTTGGCTCTCCACTACATAACAGCTGTTCTTTAAACCTAATCTTTTGGGAGCATAATGGAAATTAAAGCCTTTGAAGGTTAACAATAGATGATAACAGATCAAGGCAGGGAAGGGGTTCTTTTCTCTGGTAAACCTGCCAAGTGCTTTCTTGGGAGGTGTCAGACTACCCCTTTTGATACTGAGTAAGCTCCCAAGTTACCAAAGTCCCCAGTCTCTCTTTTCTCTCCCTCTCAACTGGGATGTTTAAGGTTATATGGTGCTTCGTGATGCCATAGGAATGGGAATCTCCATTCTGCTGTGCTCCAAGTCCAGTCTTTCACCACTCAGCTTCTGAGAGAGTGCTTCATCTGATCATGTTTTCCTAGAGAAAGGAAGCTCTTACCCATCCTGTTTCCTACACTACATCCCACTTCCCCACCCTTTTCCATCAGAAAAGTAAATTTTAGTTTCCTCTTTCTGGGTGGTGATCCTGTTTTGTTCATTTCACTTTGCAGTTTACTTTTCTATTCCTGCTCCTCCTACTTTTAAACCCTGCTTCAAGATTCATTTCTTCTCCCCTAGCCGGCGGATCTGCCATTATGCAAAATATTTTGCTTATGGACATTTTATTCTTTGGTCTCTTATTGTCTTTTGGAGTCCTAAGGAAGCTTCTGTTGAAAAGATTGTCAGGTTCTGGGAAGTCCCATTGTTACTATGTCTTGTTTTGTGTGCCTGGCTACTAAGTGAACATGCAATCTAAATAAGCAAGCACCAGGCCAGGAAAGAGGCCGAAGTATTAGAAGAGATGGGTGTATGGAGGGGGATGGGATTTCAGGAGATATACTTTTAATAATTAGGTATATTAGCTTTCCTAAACAGAGTTGCAAATAGGTCTGATAATCCTCAAGATTCTTGTTGATAGCATATTATACATAGTAAGAACCAGAGTCCTGTATTACAGGATGCTCATCATAAGGAGGGTGATGACAGTTTGGTCACTACTTTTGTCCTATTCTGAGCTATCTTGAGCTGCAGGGCATATTTGGGATAGTTGTTTCTAATCCTGTAGTTTGCCCTGACATTTTCAAGAGTTAGACTTTACTTTGGTAAACATTTATTGAGTATACAAGGCACTTTGCTGAATTGTGAGGATACATATATTACGGTCTTAAATTGATTGTTTCCCCAAGGTTAGTTGGAGTTGTGTTTGGGAATGGTGATTGAACGGGCAGCAGGCCAGAAATATTAAATGTCTCTTGGCCAGGAGCCATTCAGCAGACCTTTATGGAAGGGATGAAAGTTTGTTGCAAACCATAGGCAGAGTTTTGGTGCCATGGAGAACAAATGTTAGAGCTGAGAACCTTAATTCTCTTCTGCAAAAAGAGAAAGCTAGAAAAGAGACTAGCAATCTAGACTAATGTCTTTTTTTACAGGTTAGGGAACTGTGTCCAGAGAAGTGAGTTGCTTAGGGTCACACAGCTAGTTACTGGTGGAGTTGTTGGAGTGTGTGCCTGCTGGGGTTGTCAGACTGGTTTTTAGTTCCTTCCCTCCTCCCCCAACACGCAGAGACTTTACAGGCATTAACCCCACTCTGTTAACTAAGATGACCCCAGAATTACCAGACTAACTTAATTAAGAGATTCGTTTTTTAGGAACATTCTCACCTTTTGAATGCCATCCCCAGCCAGTTAGGCAGTCTTAGGAAAAAGAAAAATTTCCATTGAGCTATGTTTAATTTTTATCTATGGTATGTGTTCTTGATCAGTCATTATCACATGGGGGGGGTGGAGGTCTTTTCTCAACATTTTTTCCTTAAACTGTGCTCAGCTACTCTTCTCAGGAGGCAGGCTGGCATTTAAGATAGAGTTGTGAGGGGGTTTTTTTGATCCAGAGAACATATTGTGCCTCCCACCTGTGGAAGGAGAAAGAGAATGACTACCCAGATTGCAAATAACTAGAACAGAACTGTTCCTCCGGAGAATTTGTCCAGTAAACAAATGGCTTTCTTGATTGTTTGACTGATTTGTTTTATTTTGATTCTCTCTTTTTTTTTTTTTTGGTTAGGCGGTGGGGTTAAGTGACTTGCCCAGGGTCACACAGCTAGTAAGTGTTATGTGTCCGAGGTCACATTTGAACTCAGGTCCTCCTGAATCCAGGGCTGATGCTCTATGCACTGCGCCACCTAGCTGCCCCTACTGATTTTGTTTTAAAGTGCTCTGCTATGTCAGGTGAGAGCCCATGGTAATTGGCAGTTCATTTCTTAGGTTTCTTTTGCTTCTATCTGACCCATGCAGGAATCATTGGCACATTTGAAACCAAATTAAAAATTGTCCTGTAATTCTCTGGGACGGTTTCTTCTATGATCAGTCTGGGAACTAACCTGCAGCTTCAGTAGTTTGAGGAATGCATATCTGTTTGACCTGCACTTCCCAAAATTGTATACATACATATATATATATAAATACTGCAAATATTGAAGTTAGCCTCACATAAACTCTTAGTTTCTCTGCTGGTAGATGATGTCATTTCATCTCCTACGGAAATGCTTCTGCCCTGAAAACACAGGGAGAGGCTGCAGTATTAAGGCCAGCTCTGTTTTACTCTACACATTGAAATAACCCTCATTGCAGAGCTATCTACTGCCTGTAAAATCATCTTTGTTTCAGTCATCTCTTCTTATGACACCCAGTTCTTTTTTATTCTCCCTCTCAAGTCTGCATTACCACATCTCTTGATATTACTTTTGAACGTCTTGTTTTCCTCATCTCTTTCTCTCCTTTCTCCCAAAATCGAGTCCGAATTTTCAGGAGCTCAGCAACAGTAGGTACATTTATATAGAGTTATGACTGTGACTCTACATAAATACACATTTTGCCAAGTGACTTGAAAGTCCTTCCATGTGGAAAGTAGCAGTCTGTTGTTCCACAAACACAGCTCTGGGTGGGGGTCAGGAACCAAAATTTTAATCTTCCTTAAAACTACGACTAAGTAAATGATTTTTAAAAACTGTTCTCTGATGGTACAGTGATACTGTTTTGTCTTTTAGAGAGAGACTAGAGTATGACCAGTTTGGGACTTGATCTGGTTGTCACAACTATTTTCTGAGGTTGCATTGGCAGCATTTAACAATCCTGTGATATTTGTACTGGAACATTCAGCTTAAGTCTTACAGTTCAGGAAATATATTGAGATTAAATGATAGACTTGTTTATCCATGTTCTGACAGGAAAGTATCAATGTCGTCCTGATGACTGTGAAGCTCTGTGTGTGTGATATTGCAGCAACCCTAGTATGATATGTTCTAAGGTGGGTTTACCAATCATTTTAGTTGGCATCAAAAGCAGGGTGTGGAGTGTGTGGGAATCGTGTTGTGATGTTGTACATCTTTGGAGCCCGAAAGTGTCAGTAGCACCTTGGGCATTTTCTATTTTTTTTTTCTCCTCGTACCGGCTTTGGAGCAGCACAATGGCAGGTTTATGAGTTTAGTTTAATGGAAAGCAACGTAAGCATGTGTGCAGTGTAACTGAACAGTGATGACCAGATAGAGAATGAGTGGTGGAAGAGTGGTGGACACAGAGATCTGAGAACTACCTAAAATGGAAGCTTCTGTCTAAAATTTCTCAAAGGAAAAATGTGATTCTTGGGTTGGGGTGAGGGTATTGTTTCTGCTCATGTAATTCTTCTGCTGAAGCTTTTCCTTGTGATCTTTTGAAAATGGCACACTTGGTATCACAAGTTACTCCACATCTGAAAATTGGTCCATGGAACTTAATCTATTTCCCTATTCTTTAAGTTTTTAGAATTTTTTAAAATGTTCGTTCTGCTATAAGCAAATACAAACTCCTCAGTTTGATAACTTTCTGTTTTTCCTCATCTAGGTTTCCACTTTCTGTGCTGTGGGGCCACCCGCAAGAGAGGTAGAGCTGATCTTATATCTGTGCTTAGTGAGGCATGAGCTCCCCACAATAACTAGCAGCCAGCTCCCCTTCCCAATAACCATCTCAGGTTCTTTGGAGTGGGATGGAGTGGAGTATAGTCCTCCCCTGAAAGGGCTATGAATGAAGGGTTTTGTAAGCACAGTTGACTAAAGGTTCCCTACTCTTCTCCCTTCCACCATGCCTCTAGAGGTGGAAAAAAAAAGTCCCCTCCTAATATAGAAGTATCTTTGCTTACAGTTCTCTGAACTGCTATTCCCAGCTCCTCCATCTCCCATCTGCCAGTGCCTCCCTTTTGTTTACCCTGGATTCTTTTTGTAGCATCATTCTTATTGTTCCAACAGCCTGTTTCTCTGCCCTGCCTCTCCTGGCTATCTAATCTCCCCTGCTCTCCTCATTGCTTAGAACAGCTTTGGTCGTTTTATTAACAAGAAAATTTGTGTGCTAACAAATTTGGCAATGAACCTGATGCCCCAGGGATTGGACCGTCCAAGGATTCTAGCTCATTTTGAAAATGTAAAAACCATTCATGGCTCACAGGCCATTCAAAAAAGTCAGCTGGATTTGGCCTTTGAGCTGTAGTTACCAATCCCTGTCTAGCTGGGGAGGCCTTCTCCCCTCCCCATTTTGTATTAGTTGACTTGCTGACAGTCCCTCTACACAATGCTCTGAAACTAGTGAATAGTGCCAAAGTTTTTATACTTCACTCAGTCAATTTTAATTAATCTGTAAATATCCTGGTATTTAAGAGTTCCCTCTTTTGTGTCTCCTCCACGAAAATAAATAAAACTGTGTTGGTAAAATGGCAAAAACGCTTTTTGGTTAAAATTCACTATTGTTCCATTTATTATTTGGGGAAGAAGGTTGGAAACCAAGCTCTGATCAGCAAAAATGTTCCTAGATGGGTGCAAAAGAGCCGAAAAGCATCTGCTTTTTGCTGCAGTAAGCAGTGAAAACATAGGTACCAAACTCAGGCAGAAATATGCAATCTCAGAGGAAGGAACTATTTCTATTTAAAAAAGAAATGATGATTCCTATTATAAAGGCAGAAGTTCTTTTCTCCTCTGTTGGTGGCACTTTGGAATTTTATTCTCTTTAGGTTGCCAGCTTCAAGCCATTCCCTCATTTCTGGAAAGACTTTGGAACCTGTAAAAATGAGAAACTGTTCCCTCAGGAAGAAAAATGGTACTTACTCGTATAATAACAGATAGTTCCTCAGTGTAATTGGTGGAAGTGGTGGGGGAGGGAATCTACTTGGTTTTCATTCCTTTTGGTTAAAGAAATTGCCTGCTGTCACACAGGAGCTGAAGGATATTGGTTGTTGATTTCACTGAAAAGAGCTGAGGGAAGAGACCTAGGTTCTTCTGTTACTGAAACTGACCTCCTAGTGCATTGAGGAGCAGGTACCTCGAAGTGATCAAAAAACATATCATCAGCTTATTCATTGCCGTTTTTGTCTCTTTGAACTCCAGCATTCTGCTAGAGTAGCCCAGTTGGAGCACCTTCCCCCTCTCCTTCACAACCTGCCTTGCCCCACAGAGGGGGTAGGATAGTTGGGAAGGCAGCATGAAGCATGAAGAGTACTAGACTAGGGGATTAATAGATTGGGCTCCTGGTTTTGCTAGCTGTGAGATCTTGGGTAAGGCACTGAACATATTTGGGCCTCAATTTCCTTCTATGTGAAATGTCGGGATTGGAATACATGATCTCTTCAATTCTCTTCCAGCTTTGTGGTGCAGCAATTTCAAGAATCTTTGTTTTAGCTTAGGAATGAGTAAGCAGCTTCACTTGGAGTTCGTGGAGCCAAACTTTCAACGTGGTGTGTTTTTTTAAAACCAGCTGCCGTTAACTGATTTAGCTGTAGGTAACTGAGAAGTAACATTCTCCTGACATAAGTCTGGTGACCCAAGAGGTTCACAGACTGTTCACCTAGTTCTTTTTTTCTCCTCTGTCTTCTATATCGAGGGCCTGGAACTCTGAATCATTGGGACTGACACTGTGTCATCCACTCCTTTGGCCAAAGCAGGCTATTTGTAGCCACTCCGTGTTTTCTGTAAAGCAGCCAACTTGTCTTAGCTTCATCTTTGTTTCCAATAAAGTCACTATATCTAGTCCTCTGAAATGTACTTCAGGGCCTATTAATAAAGTAGGATCCCTAAAGGCATGTTGGCAGCTACCAAGAGAGGCAGGGCAGAGCAGCCTGTTACACTGAATGGTACCATAAACAATTGTTGGTAACATTATGCCACCTTGTATAGGTAGCTCTTTCATCTTTCTCCATTTTTAAACCTCTTTTATTTTTCTCCTTCCCACCTTCCTTTCCTTTTAAGAAATGTGGTTTTTTTTTCCCTTCTTCCTTTCCTTCCTTCAACAAATATTTATTAAGTTCCTACCATGTGCAGTATGTGTGCATACTGTGCTCAATGCTGGATGGGGGTGGGGGGGAGAGGGTAAAGAAATAAATGACATCTTACCCTCAAAGAGCTTACATTCTAGGTCTGTGGGGTGGGGAGAGAGATGAGAACAGTATATAAACATAGTACTAGTCAGAATGAGGTAGGGCCCCTGAAAGTGGTACAGAGAGGGGGATGTCGTTAAGTCAGCAAGCATTATTAGGTGCCAGGCACTGCACTAACCACTGAAGATACAGAGAAAGGCAGAAAAAAACAAAAAACGAAAAACCACAGGGTCTGCCCTCAAAGAGCTTATGTTCTAGTAGAGAAGACAACATATAAAAAAAATGAGATGGTCACAAGATAAAGGAATTCATGGAAGGACAATACTGGGCTTTATTCATACTGGGCCTTAATATGTGTACCACACAATTGTGGAGACCGGTTATAATTTTTTCCCACTTTGCAATTATCAAAGTACTTCCACAAAAATATTCCAGCTTCATTAAATAGCTGTGGCCTAGAACAAGTGCTAGATTGAGCCAAAAAAACCTTAGTTCAAGTTCCAACTTCACCACTTATTATCTGTGACTTCATGCAAGCTATTTAAACTATCAGCTTTTTTCCTTCTCTGTAGAATGGTTTACTATCACAGAGTTGTTAGAATCAAAATAGAGAAGTGTTTTATATTCTTCAAGTAAGATATATGTGTATGTATATAAGGTTACTGTTGTTGGTACCTCTCTGCCCTGTGAGGTACTGTTACTGAAGTCATTCTACATACCCCAGTTAGATCCTGATTTATTTAGCACCTTCCCTGTCATTTACCTCAGTCTTTAGGGTAAAGTCTCTGCTCAGTGTCCAAGCATTTGGGACTAGAAGCTCAGGCAGTGGTGACCTTGAGTAGAGTAGCTGGTGTCTCCTGCAACTCTCTGTCTTGCATATGCTATGAAGAATAACACAATCGTACATCATGCTTTTTGGTGAAGGTCAGCGTAGGTTAGATGGACATAAGGTAGGTGAGGACCTTGCCTGTACCAGTGCTGGCTTTTACTAGTGCAATTTAAAGAGTTTAGGAAAGCATTTGTAGCCAGGTCCAGCAAACTACCACTTTAGGGTCCTGTATTAAAGACCTTCATTGTCCCTGTCACTTAATCACTACTTCCTGCCAGTGCTGGCACATGAACTCTTTTCTACCTGTTTTCCTTCTGTCAGATTTAAGGAGGCAGGGATGCCTTCTATGCTACAGAATCCCTAGTGGAATAGAAGTGGAAAGTGTTGGCAATGGCCTTAAGGTGGACCCTGAATGCATCTAGGGATGATAATGAGTCTCACCCAGCTGCTGTCTTGGTATCTTATTGGCACTGAGTCTCTTAGAGGGTAGGGTTCCTGGCTGACTCCTTACTTCTTCTGTTGCTAAATGTGCTGATTGTGAAGAATTTCATAATTTCTCCCTTTTTTGCTTCTCTCTTCTGTGCCTGATCACAGCACTCTTGGATGAAGGGGTTGTTGATACCTACAAATTAAGCGCTTTAATACACCTTCAAAGCTAGTTTTCTCCAAGATCTATGAACCTACAAAACATGTCCCCGAATCTTACTTCAACACTAATGGTAAGGATCGTTGACATAAGAATTGTTAGTCTGTCTTTTGGGATTATGCTTTCAATTTTGTTTCCTTCTAGCTGTATAAATGCACTCTGGTCTCTTTCTTGTCCTATGGGCCATATATTCCATTGGATTAATTTCCCAGAAAGGATCCTGGTCATACCTTCTGTTTCTTAAGTTGGTAATTCCCTAAAAGTCTTCTTGGAAACCTCATCAGCTTCCCTCTCACCCTGTTCCCACATATCAGTGTGAAGAAACTGTCTCTGAAAGTGTATCAGAGAAGGCCAACTTAGGAGGGTGATTCAGTATCACAGAGTGGAAGGTTCTAGAGAAGCCACAGTAATGGTGGTGAAGAGGAGCAAAAAAATTTCATCTTTGAGACCACTGGAATGTGCGGTAGGATAGAGTGAGGTCAGGCTTTGCTCACACTTACTCTGCAGCCTTCCTGGCTGAGCTAGTTACTAGTATGTTTGTGTACAAAACCTTTTTGGTTTTCTCCTTCATAGGTTGAAATATGTGCTAAGTTCTTCCAAAGCATCCCGCACCTCAGTTTTTGGATTGATGCTAATCTGAAAAACTTAATAACAATATTTTATTATTTTAGGAGAAAAAAAATAAGATCTCATTAACATCAGAGAGAAACCTTTCCTATTTGGGAAAAGTCACTTCATATGCTTATCTCCATCTCACACCTTCTTCTGTGTTCCCCATTCAACAGGAGAATATACTGGGGGAGATTGTGTCCTTACCAGAAGGCATTTGAGGAAGAGCGTCAGGAAATCAATGTCCTACTTAAAGAAATTTGGTCTTATGCAAAGGGATTAAATTTCTCCTCTCATCCCAAGTCAAATGTTGTAGTATTTCAGACTAAATGCCATCCAGCTGGAAGTATCAAGCTGGTATTGCCCTGCTGAATTGGCATTTTTAACAGTTTCTCTTTTGAGGTCATTTCCCACAATTATAAAATGCTTAGAGGAAAGAAGGCTCAGTTGTGAAGAGGACAGGTGCAATGATAGTGGCTGCTCGAGCTTTGGGATTTCCTCGATAGACCATCTCAAGTTGGCAGAACCCTAGGGCTAAGTGGGCAGTTCATAGCAGATGGTGCCCAGTGTTGGCACTCCAGTGTCCATCAGGCCTCTGCACTAAACTGGGTTGTAGCATTGAGTCTTTGTTGGCAGCATTAGCAAAATCCTGTAAGTTTTCTCTTTTTTCTATCCCTCCCTGGTAGCTTGGCACTCTGATCAGTTTCTTAGGGACATAACTTCTGGCAAAGAGAAGAGTCAGGCCTGTTCTCCAAGTGCCATTTGGTCTGAGGGCCATTATTTAGCACCTGGCAGCCCCTTTTCTTCCCCTTACAGCTGCAAGCTTCCTGGGATGAACCCCAGCTCTGCAGCTGCAGTATCCCAGCTGAAAAAAGGAGAGAGAAAGGCATCATTGGATGGAGTCCTCCCACCAGAGTCTTAGGCATTGTCTAGGATTACAACTCTAGATCTGGTTGGTACATGTTATGTGAATACTGTGAAAGGGTAAGAACCAGAACCTCTTTTAAGAAGTGTAGGAAACAAAGTTGGCCTTGAGCTGTCAAGTTCTCTCTCTCTCTCTCTCTCTCTCTCTCTCTCTCTCTCTCTCTCTCTCTCTCTCTCTCTCTCTCTCTCTCTCTCCTCTCTCTCTCTCTCTCCTCTCTCTCTCTCTCTCTCTCCCTCTCTCCCTCTCCCTCTCTCCCTCTCCCCCCTCCCTCTCCTTCCCCCTGTCTCCCCACTCTCCTCTTTCCCTCTCCTCTCCTCTTTTTTCTCCCCCCTTCTCTTGGAAATAGCATTGTAAAAATGCCTTTCTTTTTCATTACTTTGGTCTCTATTAATGACTCATCTTTCCATCTAATTGGAATATTCTTTCCCTCTCATTTCCCCTCCTCCCGTCAGTGAAACAAAGAAAGAAAGGAAGGAAGAAGGAAAGAAAGAAAAACAAAACCCTTGTAACATGCATGGTCAAACAAAAATTTTTGCATTAGCCATGTCTAAAAATTAGATGTTTCAGTCTGCACTCTAGATCTGTCACTTATCAAGATGTGGGTAGCATGTTTCATCATGATCCTCTGGAGTCATAGTTGGGACTGACCAACTTTTTCAGAATTTAGCTCTCCTTTTGTTTGTGTTATTTGGGCAAGTCTTCAAGCTCAAAGCAGATTAAATTCTACCTAGAGGATTAAGGAGTGAGTTTGGGAGAAACCAAGCCTTTGAGATGCTCATTTTAGATTCATGAGTGTTTACAGGGCAGATGAACTTAAGATTTTGCTCTTTGACCCATCCTTCCCACATCAGAATTCATGCTCCAGTATCTTACTCCTCCCATCCAAGAAATAACTTTTGTCTTTTTTCAAAGGCTGAGCCACTAGATTGAGAGAGTCAGTAGCAGATTTACAACCAAAATATAAATGTGCTGCCTCTCTCTGCTTTCTTTGGAATCCCTGATCTAGGCCCTCAAGTCTCAAACTAACTTTGGTGTTCACCCAAGTTATGTTAATTTGGAGGAAAATTGGTCTGATATGGAAAGGGTGAAGGATTTACAGGGCCATGATGAGGGAGAGGTAATAGTCTTCTTTAATCTGGGCATGAAGGGAGTCTGTGTTTTTCATATTACCATGTTTCATTTTGTGTAGCATGTCTTAACAGCATAGAAATGTTAAGCATAAGAACTGGTACCAATATTCAACTCTTTGCTTTTTTGGGAAGAGAGGAATGAGAACCATCTGTTCCACTTTGTTGGCTTCTAGCCTGTCTGTGCTCTGCCTTGTGGGACTGTAAACACTTAGCCTGTGGCCAGTATTGAGTCAGAACCTTTTCCCTCAGTCCTGTCTGGTCCTCAAATCTAAATTGTCTGGTTTACATAATTAGATGTAATTTTTTTCTTTTAGTATCCCCAAATTTCCCTCTCTCTTCTTTCTCCCAGGTCTTCACTTTCATTCCTGAATTGGCATTATATTTAGACTTATCATTTACATCTTTTTTAAGATATTTAAGCTTTTTCCCTTCAGATTCTTCAGAAATAGGTCAAAGACATGATTGAGTAAACCCTGGAGATAAATGTAGCTTAAAGTTCTGTCTTCTCCCCAAATGCAGAAACTCTCTGTCAGCCTGGCTTTGCTTTGGCTTCATCCTTTTCCTGGTTGGCATGTAGGTTAAGGTGAGAGTGGCAAACTTATCTGTTCATAGGTGTAGGGCCTGCAGCCATTTTCTAAAGATAATTGCTTCACATTTTTCCTAAGTCAAATGGGTGAAAAGCCATAAATTGAAATTCGAATGATAAGGTTTGTCCATAGCAGGCACTCAGTATTTCTTGAATGAATGAATTTTAAGCCTAAGCTACTTAGATCTTTTCATTTATTGACATTAACAGCACAATAAACCAGGACAGGATATAGAAATCCTAAGCAATTCCTATATACCCTAAGTTCCTTTACATCAGTGGTTCTCAGCGTGAGATCTGGGGGTTCCTGGGGCTCTTTCAAAGGGTCCATGAAGTCAGAAGTGATGTTTTAATTTCTAATATGGTAAATATCAGTAGATATAATGCACATAAACAAAAGCTCTTTAAGAGGTAATCAATTGTTTCTAAGAGTGTAAAAGTTTCCTGAGACCAAAAAGTTTGCGAACCAGTGCTTTACAAATTGTCCCCTTTCTCTCCTCCTTATTTCTGTTTCACCATAATCTGTATTAACCTATCCTTCTCCTTATAGGGATTGAACATGTTATTCTCTTTTGTATTAGACAAAAGTTCCTGGACTCTCAAGATATTCTGATAAAAAAGATGATAAAATCCTTCAGAACTTCAATCAGAAAGCCAATGTGCAATAATGACAGCCTACTTTGAACGTGGCAATAGACTAATCCAACTCGAGGTTCTCTAGGAGTATTGGGGTATTTCCTGTCCCTCCCCTTTCCTACCTTGGTGTCAAGTCAGAGCCGCTAACTTTGTGTTCAGAGAATAATTACAGAATTTTTTTTTTTCCAAGCATAGTATAAAAAGGATGTATATGGAGAAGAGAATGAACTAAAATTATGTGTTGGGTATGAAGTTCCTAAAAAGGAATTGGCATCTGAAATTAATGAAGAGGTGATTGGAGCTTACTGTCACACTAGGGTCAAACATTGATTTTTAGTGTGTTTAAGCAAGAAACATTTTGTGTGTGTGTGTGTGTGTGTGTGTGTGTGTGTGTGTGTGGTCTAGCATGTACTTATGCTTATGTTTTTGTTTTGTATTTTACAGTACAATCAACCTTCAAAAAATCTTTGACCACTTCCTCTGAGGTGAGTATCAGAAGATAATAAGAATTTGAGTAGGGTGAAAGGTTTTTTGGTACATGGTACTAGCTAAAGCCCTAGATTAGGGGAGAGTGAGCTGACTCTTGCCTCTGGTGGATAGAAAAGAGGTTCCTAGTGTCTAACCAATGTCACTTCTGTTTTGATTTTATCCTATTCCTTCAGCGAGCATAGAATACTACTCTTCACACCATATAGGAGATATTCTTCTTTAAAACTTCCTTCCTAGACCATATTCCTTGCCTTTTCCTAACTTTTCTGCCCCCTCTGGGGGTCTGTGATAGCCAGTAGAACATACAAGTAGATAGCAACCAAGACCTATGTCTTGATATTTTAGTGCCAAGCCTTGAGGGTCTTTGAAGAAACCCTTCCTCTGGGTCATTTCCCAAGATCCCAAGATCCCTCTGCTCACAAACCAGGGATCTAAATGATAAGAGTGCTGGTGTTGGGTCTCTGGAGGTCTCTGTTTAAGTCCCTGCTCTGACACTTGTTAGCTGTATGACCCAGAGCAAATCTTTAGCTTCTAAGCCTTATTTTTATCATCTGTTCAGTGAAGATAGCAGTACTCATACAACTTACTTTACAAGATTGTTGTTTGAAAAGTGCTGTATTTAAAAAGAAAAGGGCTGTATAAATCTTAGATCATAAGAATGTGACCAGCTGTGATTATCTTCAGGAACCAAGGGCCTTGAGAGGAGACATAGAATTTCAATGTCATGTAGTGGAGTCTAGGAGGCCTTGTTTACATGCTTCTCTTCTGACTTTTGGCTCTTCCCCAAATCACCATTCCCTCTTCTCTACTCATTTTGTGAAGAGAAAATTAAGTCAAGACTAAACTCCCAGCAATTTCTTTTACTGTGACTGAAGTGGTCCGTCTTAGCCTTGTGACTGCTCGGCTCTAAATCGGCTCCCATAGGCCAGTGACTGGACTGTCTAGGCAGTCTGTGATCTTTTAATCTGACTTACTAGGGTACAGAGTGGTTTGGTGAGCAGCATTTTAGAGATAGAAAATGAGCCTCCTTATTAATAATTTTAATAACAGCAGCTGACATTCACATAGCACGTTAAGGTTTCCAAAGTACTTGACAAACATTGCCACATTTTATTCTCTATTAGAGATACCATCCCCATTTTACAGATGAGGAAACTTGAGTCTCTGAGGGATAAAGGGACTTGACCATGTCCCATAGGTAGTATTAGAATAGATACTTGAATCAAGTTGTCTAATGCTTTCCGTTATTTAATAATTCATCTTTTTAAAAGTCAACCAAGGATTTAGCATGGTTTCTGGGATACCTGTTCCATAATCTCATTTTTTCTTCCTCTCTGTTGACAGTATCATTGTATAGCTACACTCTTCAATTGACCCTTGTTCCTGCTTCTGTTAATGTATTGGAAATAAGCATTAATGCTTTGAAGCTTTATTAAATGCCCTTGACCTAGAAAGCAGAGCATCAGTGATTGTATCTACTTTGGTAATTACCTAGTGTGAATATTTACTTTTGTCTTCTTTTCTCTTTGTAGGTATCTGGCTCCTCTGGTCCAGTCAAGAAAATAGGACATAGAAGTGTTGATCCCTCTGGGGAAACAACATATAAAAAGGTATATCTGGATTCATGTCTCTCCTCTTAGAACTAGGCAATGATAGCTCTGATTTCCCCTTGTCCCCTTTTCTGATTTCTCACATCTTCTGCCTTTTCGAAATAGCATTACAAATAGCTAGTACCATGTACTCACAAAAGATAGACTGTTATTCATCTCTGTATTTTTAAATAAGGATGTTCTTAATTGAAAGTTTACATTTTTGTAACAGAGTTGGCAACACATACCAGCTTATTGTACTAAAGAAATTGGGTTTCTCTGTTAGGGAAAGGCATACAACAGGTCCTTCAAGGCTGCTCTCCCCTTACCTCAGGGCAGATACATCTCCTGCTACCTTTCACGTGATACTTCATATGCATGGAACTGCATGAAGAGGCCAGTTCCTTATATGGCAGTTCCCGGACAGACAGCAGCTGGTTAGCGTTGCAACCTGTCCCGTCAAGCTTCTTACTTCCAAGTATTGTCTTTGGAATGAAAGAATTCTCAAAACTGGTTGGAGGAGCCTCAATACCTGCCCTTGAGATACCAAGTGGAATGGAAAGGTGGTTGCACAACCTAGAAGAGATAAGAGGATTTGGGTAGGGGCGGGAGCCAAGGGGGAGAGAAAAGAACAGCCACTTGAGGTTTTCTCAGCTCCTGGCCAACCTCCAAGATATGTTCTTGTTCTGTAGCCCTCCCTGGGAGCTTTGTAGCTAGGTTCCTAATAATAGTACCTACCTCACAGGGATATTGTCGAGATCAAGTGAGATACTATGTGTAAAGAATTTTGCAAACCTTAAGCACACTGTATAAATGCTAATTACTACCGTGCCAAAGCTCCTTTGACTGGTATAGGAGGTGCTTAGGGCTGCCAGCCTGTTGATTTGGTGGTGCTAGATTCTGCTTTCTGGTCATATTGGCTCTTCTGACATCCTTGTCTTAGTGTCATTATCCTAAATCAGCACTTCAAGGTAGTGACATACACTACAGGTTTTCACTTAGCTAATTCTTGAAACAGAAGTAAATCAAATCAGCAGACATTTATTGAGTGCCTCTTATTTGCCAAGCACTGTGCTAAGCGCTGGGCATGTAAAGAAAGGCAAAAACCAGTCCCTGTTCTCCAGGAGTCTAATGGAATAGAAAGCATATCCAGGATAAATCAGAGATAATTTACACTGGGGAAGCACCCAGCATTAAGTGGGTTTATAAAAGACTTCTTTTATAAGGTGGAATTTTAGCTGGGATTTGAAAGAAGCCAGGGATAATTGAATCCATGGGAGCTGATGAGATCACCAAGTGAAATACTATAGAGGGAGAAGAAAAAAGTTGCTTCTTTATATTCCCAGCTTTTTTGTATTGGATGGTTTGTAGCCTCTCTTCCATCCCTGAATAAGCTGTAGTTTAATTTCACTAAAGTCTATAATATCTTAGGATTTTAGAACTGAAAAGGGTCTGTACGATTATCTAGTCCAGGAGTTCATTTTTTTGTGACATGGACTCCTTTAGCAGTCTAGTGAAGCCTATGCATACATCGTAATGTTTTTAAATGCTCAAAATAAAATACATAGGATTACAAAGGAAAATAATTATATTGAAATACAGTTATCAAAATACTTTAAAAAAAACCAGTGCATGGATTCCAGATTAAGAACCCTTGATCTAGTCCAACGCCTTCATTTTGTAGATGAAAATCTAATGCTATGATAGTAGGCTGTGTTTATTTTTTCATTTTTTCAATAGGCAATGTTCAGAGTGGCTTAGGCTACTATTTCTGCCTCTTTTTCTCTTAAACAAGATTCAGAAATGCAAATTGTTCCATAGTTATAAATACCTTCCTCTTGTAATAGGCTCCGAATCTTGTAGTACAAAGTCTTTCCTATGGAGTTGGGATCCTGAATTTGGGTGGGAGGGGGCCTTTGCTTCTTAGATTTAGAATTTTTTGGTCATATTGGGGAAGATGAGTTTATTAATCCCTTCCTTTTTCTTTATGAAGTGATCTGCATCTTTTATGTTCCTTTCACCCCCAACTAAGAGTTTCTAGGCTTTGGGGTCCTAGTCAGTCTCTGCTGCATACTGCTGTGATGTCTCCATAGCCAGCCAGGCACCCATGCAATTACCATCAGGGATATAAAGTGCTTGGCGGGGAGGAGGATGTGTATCTGTTGGTCATCTTCCAGCATTCTCAGCTTAAGAGGGTTCCTAAGATCGAAGTCTAAGAGTGAGGAAGAGACAGAGCAACGAGCCCTAAAGAAAGTGTGTCTGGGAGTATAGTGAACTCAGTTGGAAGGAAGCATGCTGCCTGGAGACCCAACTCTTGCTATTCTGTCCAGGAGAATATTCTGCTCCCTCTAGGCACTGGCAGGGCCTAATGTAGCAGCAAGCCAGTAGGACGTAGGGAGCATGTATTTTTTCCCCACATATTACCGAGAAGCTCTTTGCTTTCATTTCTTTCCTCTAGCACCCTGAATCTGAACTTTCATAGTGTGTGTCAGATTAAATAACTTGAATTTATCCTACTTTTCCTTCCCTCCAGACAACCTCATCAGCCTTGAAAGGTGCAATTCAGTTAGGCATCACCCATACTGTTGGCAGTCTTAGCACCAAACCAGAGCGGGATGTCCTCATGCAAGACTTTTATGTAGTGGAGAGTATCTTCTTCCCCAGGTGAGATAACCTGACATTTAGGGGAACAGATCTGGTCCCTTTATGCTAATGCAGAAAATGAGATTTAGGGGTTCCTTTAGGAAATTGGATGTGGCATTTTCTGACCCCAAAAAAACCCACCCACAAAAAATCGGTCTTATTACTTTGTAATTTGTTTGATTGTGCACATTATATGCCTCCAGTAGAAAGTAAGCTCCTTGAGGCCAGGGACTCTGGTTTTTGTCTCTTGTGTACTCCCAGTGATGAGCACAATACTTTGCACCTAATGTTTTTGGAAGGTTGAACAGCTCAGGGAGACAGACAAAGAAAGATTGTATCATCTAATTGAGTCTAGTCCACATCCTGACACTGGCCCTTAGAAGTCAAGTACCCTTAACCATGACCCTTGACCTGGGCAGTGGAGTTCAGTCAGAACAGAGGCTGTCCACGAATGATCTGCAGCAAGTTAGTGGCACTTGCTGCACTTTAAGGGAAGGAAAAGGAGGGCCTGGTGTGGTGCCCACCCCCAGCGCTGTGGCCAGAATCCCTGTTGATGTGGTAATCATTCACACTCTGGTTTAAACCCTTTATTTTAAAGGTTTATATGATCTTCCTACTGAGGGAGGCATTTGGCAGAGGTTACAAAGTCAGGTGTCTCCCCAGGTCCAATCAAGGGATCGTTGATGTGACTTGCTGTTGCAGGTCTCCTTGTCCTCGGCTGCCACAGAGATTAGTTTTCCGTGCTTAATGAGCTGAAAATTAAAGTGGCTGCTGCTTTTTGCTTTTTCTTTTTTTTTAAATGAGTCGAGTATGGGAGTAATGTGAGCACTCTTTCAGCCCATGCCTTAATCCCCACACTCAGCCCCTGACTCACCGAGTGACTCATTCGGAACCTTGATTATCCCTCGGGGAGGGTGATCTTGGCTAGACTCTGGGGGAGCACTGAGGGAGGCTTCCTGACACAGTTTTGCAAGTCTTGACTGTTTCTACTTATCCTGTACAGTGAAGGGAGCAACCTGACCCCTGGCCATCATTATAATGACTTCCGTTTCAAGACTTATGCCCCTGTTGCTTTCCGATACTTCCGAGAGTTATTTGGAATCCGGCCTGATGACTACTTGGTAAGCTTCTGGGATGCCTTTGTTCCCAGTTCTTCTTTAGGCCAGAATCCCATTCCCAGGTCTGCCAGGTCCTGGTGTGTCTGAACCTCTTTTTCTTTTTTTCCTGGATCCCAGTACTCCCTGTGTAGTGAGCCACTGATTGAGCTCTGCAACTCTGGAGCCAGTGGCTCCATTTTCTATGTGTCCAGTGACGACGAGTTTATCATCAAGACCGTCCAGCACAAAGAGGCCGAGTTTTTGCAGAAGTTGCTGCCAGGATACTACATGGTAAGAGAGCTGAGTTACAGTTCCCTTCCATCTGCTTCTAGGCTGTGGTGCCGGCGAGCATGCAAAAGCAGCTGTAACGCTTCCTTCCCAAGAACTTTGTTTTGGTACTTTTTGTCCCTTCCTCTCCTGCCTCACCTTGGTCTGAGATGTCTAGCCTACCCTGAGGTCCAGGTGGGGTGATGCTGTTGGGTTTGAAGTCTTCTTTAAGATCCCAAGGCGAAGCCACATGCTCAGGTTCAGTTTCTTTAATTTGACTTCTGCTACTTTTGCCCACTTTGTATATACCCCCACACTTGAGGATGGGTCAGGTAGGCCTCCTAGTACCTCTTTCCTCGATTTGTCCCCAGGAAGTTTCCTTTGTCACAGGATGATCTCATCCTTATCTCAGCAACTCCAGAGAAATATTTCCTCACTCATGCTGCATCCTGACCCTAAATTACTATTATTGTATAGGTCATTGTATCCACAGCTCTTCTTGGTGTAATGATTTCCATGCAGAATTGAAGTGAATACTATGGAGGATTCAGGCAACTAGGAGTAGCTTGAAGATCCCAGGCTGACAGACTCCAAAGCTCTGCCTTGGGAAGTAAATACCAGCACTCCTAAGGCAAGAAAGTGATAGAGATAAAGATGATGTTGTCACTTATCCTGGAGCTTTAGTGAAAGTCATCTTCCCCTTTAACATACTCCCCCTGCATCTCTCTTGTCTCTGCCCCCTCAGAACCTGAATCAGAATCCACGGACTCTGTTACCCAAATTCTATGGGCTGTACTGTGTACAGGCAGGTGGCAAGAACATTCGAATTGTGGTCATGAACAACCTACTTCCACGCTCAGTCAAAATGCATGTCAAGTATGACCTCAAGGGCTCAACCTACAAACGACGGGCTTCGCAGAAAGAGCGGGAAAAAGTGTTCCCCACCTACAAAGATCTAGACTTCTTGCAAGACATGCCAGACGGCCTCTTCTTGGATTCTGACATGTATAATGCCCTGTGCAAGACGCTGCAGCGAGATTGCTTGGTGAGTGTCCCCTTGCCCCCACAAAAGGAGCGTCAGGATCATGCCTCAGTATTGACCTTGTGAAAAGCAAGGTAGGATAATGTTCCTTAAATGTCCCCTCCCTCAAAAAAAAGTCACCAGACTTCCCACTGACACCAAGTGTCCCAGTGAGCCCAGCCCTGTGAAGTTTGTAGTTAGAATAGCCTCTTTGTCACCTTGCTTAGCTCATTCACAAGAATCCAGTATTACTTTATGAAGTGCAGAGAGAGAGGATGGGCAAAGACAGGAGGTGAAAGCTGGTAAGGAAGACTTGGAAGAAAAATGGGGAGAACGGGGTGAGGGGCCCTGAAGGAATGGAGGATTTAGAGAAAGATTGGTAGAGAAACATGCTTATTCTCCAGGGAAGTCAGCAAGGTATATCCACATGGAACTTGAGAGCCTGAATCAGGCCAAGAGGAGGGTGAAGGGGGGTGGGTCCCCTTCCCCATAAGGCCTTTGTTAGAGTTCCAGGAGCCCCATTTGTGTGTGTTGGGAAAGAGAAGGAGAAAACAGCTTTTGTACTTTGAGCTTTAATTTGCTATTGGTATCTTTTGTTTTTTCTTTTTTTTTCCTTTCCTTTTCTTTTCCTTTTTTTTTTTTTTTGGCTAGGCAGTGGGTTAAGCGACTTGCCCAGGGTCACACCGCTAGTAAGTGTTATGTGTCTGAAGCCGGATTTGAACTCAGGTCCTCCTGAATCCAGGGCCGGTGCTCTGTCTACTGCGCCACCTAGCTGCCCCTTATCTTTTGTTTTTACATTACCTTCATTTCCAAATTTATTCTTTGTCCCTCTCCTATCTGGTGAGCTTGCCCTTGTAACCAAGAGTTAAGAAAAAAAGAAAAGAAAAAAAGGCACTTTCGAAAAAACTAATACACACATCAACCAGGTCTGACAGTAATAGGCCTTCCTTCCGACAAGGGAGAAGTTCATTTTTTCATTTCCTTTAGGGCCAATCTTAGTGGTCGTACTGACACAGCATTTAGCTTGATTTTGTTGTTCTTCCCATTTAGTGTTATCATTGTGTATGCTGTTTTCTTGGCTTTGCTTACTTGACTTTGTATCAGTTCTTTTAAATCTTCCCATGCTTCTCTGAATTCTTCATAATTGTGGTTCTTTATAGCACAGTGGTATTTCATTATAGCAACATACCACAGTTTATTTAGCTATTTTCCATTGTTTCCAGTTCTTTTCTTTCCATAATGTTTATACCAGTTCACAGCTTCATCAACATTGTATTAGTGTGCCTGTCTTCCCATAATCTTTCCAACATAGACTGTTATCATTTTTTGTCATCTTTATTAATTTGCTAACCAGGAGGTGAAACAGAGTTGTTTTGATTTTAATTTTTTAAAAATTATTCATGATCGTTTGCCGTTCTTTTGAGAACCATTTTCTAATAAGGTAATTCTAAGAGAACCCTTCCAAACTCTGTTTTTGTGGGTGTCAGGTCCTAATAATCCTTCTCCTTATTCTGGAATTTTCACTTCCTTTTTTCCTATTTGGATTTCATGTGTCTCATAAAGCCTCTAGCCAAAGTGTCTTCCTTACACTTAGGTGCTACAAAGCTTCAAGATCATGGACTATAGTCTGCTGGTGGCAATTCACAACATGGAGCATGCCCAGAGAGAACGGCTGCCCACTGAAATGGGCCCTGGAAATGACACCCGAAAACCAGCCCCGCAGAAGGCTCTCTATTCCACAGCTATGGAGTCCATCCAGGGGGAGGCCCGACGGGGCGGCACCATGGAATCAGAGGACCAGTGAGTATATGATGGGTCCTGGGAAATTCAGTGTAAGGCAGGCCACTGTTGATTGGAATTCAGTTTAGAATAGAACCATCTTCAACCCCATCCAAGAAAATCTAGTTATTGGACTACTATTAAGTGAGGTAGTCTTATAGCATGGCTCCCAAGAAAAATGTTATGGTATAGGTAAAGATCTAAAATAGATTGTGATATCTATGGGATAAGGTTGATCATTGTCCGGTGGGGCTTATTAGGGAAGGTTTCCTGAAAGGCAGGTTGGGGAGGATTGGAAGGAACTTGCTGCAAAATGTTTTTGAAGGGAGAAGGTTTCATGATTCTCCAATCCTTGGAAATTAAGTATAGTTTGTGTTTTGGTAAGCTCAAGTCCATGGCCGGATTTGACTTAGGGACGGGAGGCACCATGCTTTTATAGCTCGGTAGTTTCCTCATTCTTCTCACTCTCTTGCATTTGTCCCAGGATGGGTGGCATTCCTGCCCGAAACAATAAAGGAGATCGACTGCTGCTTTATATCGGTATTATTGACATTCTACAGTCTTATAGGTGAGGATCTCTTGGGCAACTAGGACACAGAAATGGATCTTAGGTTTTGGAGCTGAGGAGGGATAAGTATTTAGGGTTATATATCCCCCTTCTAGTCAGATAAGTTAGCCTTGCTTCTAAGATATCTCCTGATTAAGACTCATAGGTTTCAGGACATCTGTTCGTTATGCAAGATTTCAGATGAGAGCCTTTATTTCCTCCCCCAATTCACACATACCTTCTGGTAGAAAGCTAAGTCAGCCCTAAGACCATCTGTCTGCTATTGCTTTACATGGCATGAGTCACGCTCCACTGCAGGCTGTAGCTGGAAGTTACTTCTCTTCCTTTCTTACTTTCCCAGTAGGGAAAAACAAGGGAGTTTCTATAATTGGGTCAAGAGCCCTAGCTTCTGGCCCCAGTGAACAGAGGTGAGGAGCATCTGCTGCAGCCCAGAGTTCCTCTCTCGCTTTTCCCCTGGGAGGCCCTTGCATTTGAAAATGATGAACATCTACATAACAAGTCTTCAGTATTTGTTGATTTTTTTCACGAAGAAAAGATCACCTGTCTTTAGATCCCTTTATCACCACAGCAAACCAAAATCTGATTCACACTGTTACCTTGGCCTAGATAACGGCCTCATTCCTCACGTAGATTTTGTGCTTTTTTGCATTCTCACATAGTTATCTGATCCCGTGCGTGTTCCGTCCAGCAGTGCAGATTTCAGCTCATCCATACCTGCCCATCCTGGCTGACACGTCTTCATGTCCTTTCCTATGTTTGCCACAGGGCTTCCACCCAACACATGGGTTGCCATCATTACTTTCTCTGGCCATAGCAGTGGACACAGGCAGTCCATGGTGGGGAAGTCCCTTGCTCCAGCTGTGTGCTCAGCCCATCTCCTTTTTTGGTCATGCATTTATTTGATGTCATCTTTACTAAAGTTCCTGTTGTAGTTCCTTACTTGTTTTGTGTAGCAGCCTGTGTGTGATCTCCATAGTTCTCTGCTTTTTAATTCTTTGGAGACTGTATAGTTTTCTATGAATCGAAGCCATACAGTGCCACCAATAAAACATTAGTGCTGAAAAGATGGGCCTCTGTTTCCGGGGGAAGTTTGGTGTTATTGAAAGAGCTTTGCAATTGCTGAAAGACTCTCCAGCCTGCTCTCCTCCTTCCATATCATTCCAGCCCCAGCACATTGCCCATTTGCAGTTGTCCAGTTGAATTGTCCAATTCTCAAGAGAATTAAGTTTGCCTGGCTTTGTTCTCCTAGCCACCATTTACTCACCCTTCCAGAACAAATCATAATTATTTTTTTTAATGAGTCCATGACTCTCAGGATGTCTTTGCACTAATAACTCTTTCACAGGTTCATGAAGAAGCTGGAACATTCATGGAAAGCTCTGGTCCATGATGGGGTAAGTGGGTTGTTTTTACCTGTGTCTTCACCCCTCTGTCCTGCATTTCTTTGCTTAGTTTTCTCTGTAATGAAATGGGTAGAATTGACTTTGAGTTTGAGAAGCCCAGGGTTCAATTTCTACCTCTGAAACATTGGCTATGTCACTTAGCCCCTCTGGGTCTGTTTCCTTTTCTGTAATGAGAAGAGACTAGTCTCACTGACTCTGAGACTTCCCAGTTCTGAATTTATGACCCTGTGGTCCTGTGACATGCTGGCCTTTGAACCTGGGCAGGTCACTTAATTTCTCAGTGCTCCAGGCACCTCCGTCTGACTCTGTTTCAGAGAAGGTTACAACCTGTGTTGGTAGAGAAGTTCCCTCTACCGTTGAAATCACCACTTCAGCCTCTCTCCCGATTCCCTCTTCCACCGTCTGTAGGTCCTTGGCCCAGGGGCACATGGCATTTTGTATTGGGGAGGGGTCCTCTTTCTCAGAGCCCTATTTCCGAAGCCTATTCTACTCCACAGGACACGGTGTCAGTGCATAGGCCGGGTTTCTATGCTGAGCGATTCCATCGATTCATGTGCCATACAGTGTTCAAGAAAATCCCCTGTAAGTGGTTCTTCCCGGATAACCCAATCCCATCACTGTCCCTACACAATGTGCCACTGAGGTGAGGGGCATTTGGCAGGGCTGGGGGAATTACAGAGTATGCGGCTTTGGCATGTGGCAGCCATGCCAACCACCGGGTCAGACAGCCAACTAGATAAGGAACATTCACACATTTCCTGTCTTGGGGTGGGGGTTTCTTTGTCTCCTGTCCCAGGCCATGCTCAAAGTAATTACTATGACATAAACTCACAGTAGCCCATACCATCCCACCAGGGACTCTTCTTTTTTTTCCCTCTCAACACCAAAAGTAGACTAGTTTATTCTGGCCTCCATGTTTTAAAGCCCTCTAGGCTTTAGGCCTTTTCCATGCTTCTGTTTCACTGTTCAATACTAAGCCCACCAAAACTCCTTCAAGGGGTCCTCAGGGACCTAGGAATTTTATGCAGCTCTACCAAATAATCAGGTCTTTGCTTAATAACTGTTTATTAAACAAAATTGTCTGGCATGGTGCAAAAGAAATCAAAGATAGCCTCTTCTTTCAAGAGGGACATAAATTTGAAAGAACATACACAAATAAAAAGCCTTAATAGAACTTTTAAGACAACATACCAAAAAATGCTAGTGATACTCATTGACAGTTTAAGGGGCTAAAAGGGTAATCATTTTCAAGCCTTCTTGAATAAGGGAAATTTGGAGGGGAGGACTTGGGTTTGGGGGACAGTAAGGGAGTAGGTGATGGAGTTAAGATACAGAGGTTATTCCATATTAGGGCTTAGGAGATGGTACATCTTCCTTACCTCTTGTTACCCATTTTCTTCTTCAATGGAATGTACTACTGAGGGACCCCAGGTAATGATGTATTCCCTATACAAGTTAAACTTGTTCTCCCCTTTTCAAGAGATGGGGAGGTGGGGAAAGGGAAGTAAGGCACTTCATGCGCTTTTTTTAATCTTGGTGCTGATCTCTGTGTTGAGTACTAAGCCGGTCTCTCTCTCCCTTTTGAAGTGAAGCTCTCTCCTTCCAAAAAGAGTCGGATCAGTTCATCCCTGCGTCGCATTGGCCCAGGTGGAAACTCTCTTTCCCCTTCCCAGCTGACAGTCCCTGTCTCTGGAGACAAGGCAGAAATGACAGCACAGGTGGAAGTAGAACCAGGTCAGCACCACATGGGGGCGCCGTGTGTCTTTAGGAACCTCCTTTCCCCCTCTTCCCCAGCATCTTTCACATTGGGACACCTGTAACCTTAGAGATTCTAGGAGCCTCTACCACATTCTTGACTCCTTTTGCTGACCCGGTGGGACACTGAGTTCTTGTAGAGTTTTGCTTTTCTTCCTCACTGGTTCCTATTTCACCTTTCACCTTCTAGGTGTCTACTTTCGCCGCCCTGATTTACTCCCCCGAACTCCACCAGTGGATGAGACCAACAGTGACTCTGCTGCCACCACCCTTTCTACCTCTCCAGGCAGTGAGAAGTTCAACACACCAGCTAACAGGTTTGTTCCTCAGCCCTCTCTTCCAAAGATCTCTCATCCCTTTCTCCAGCGCTCAGTACTCTTCTGGGAAGGCAGTTCTTGACCCCTTGTGACACTCAGAGGTCACAGTCTGTCGTCTGCTCTCCACTTAGGTTCATGGGCGTGCAGGTTCACCTTCCTGTGGGCTCAAGCTCAGAGATCCTGAGAAGGGCGAGAAACCTCAGCCTTGATAGGTGAGGGGAGGGGTGAGCCCCTACCCTGGGCCTTGGCCTTGGGCATGGTCCCTTTGTGCTAGTATGTCTGCTTATTCCTCTCCCTGACCACTCTGATCTCGCAGCTGAGCTCCCTAGCTCCACTCTCCAGCCCTTTTTTTATCCAGTAACCTTCAGAGTGAGACCCTTTTTTGCCCTTGCCAAAAAAGTAGTTTGGCCTGTGAGGGGCAGTGTTGTCAGCTTTGTGTGGGGGTTCAGAGTAAGGATGTTGGTGCAATTCATGTTGCTGTTGAAGGAGCAGAGAACCACAGTAGGTAGCTAGAAAATATTGTTTTAGTTTGAGCAAAATAGCAGTCCCTAACTTAGCTTTTCCTTAACCTCTTCGACCCGATGGTCACAAGTGATAACATTAAAATAACTTGGAGGGGTAGGGGCGGTCAGGAGGAAGGATAATGAGGCCTGAGCAGGGACAACCCCTTGCCCCATCTGACTTCTCTCCCCTAACACTTTTACTCCTACAGTTCACCTCCCTTAGAAAGAATTGACACCGCAGAGTCAGAATTCAGCTGTGTGAGTAACTGGGTTTTGGGGAGGTTGGTGTCCTAAGGCACAAGTGGCTTATTATTGAGGTGGGGAGGGGCTGGTTGTACTGTTGATTGCCATGATGCCTTCCCCCTTTGTGATTCAGTGTTATGGCCCAAATTGGGTGGAGAGAGCTTTTGTTTCTGCCACCCAGGCTGAAATGAACTTTAATTATTCCAGAGTTCTGATTCTCTTCTACTCTTTTCTCCTTCCCCACAGTTTTACTCATTTTTTCTTTCCCTCTCCAGTGAGAAAAAACCCAACAGAGGACCTGGCACTTGGAATTAGATTCTTCCATCATTGTGGTCCCAAGGTGTCAGCCCCAGTCCCAGCGCTGCTGAGCTCCCCCTTTCCTGGCTATTGAAAAGGAGAATAGTAGAGTCTGGGAGAACCTTCTCCCCACACTCCTGAAGAGGAGCCTCTTCCCCACCCCCGGGATAGGCATTAATTAGTGCCTTAGGCAGTCCGGCAGTGTCATTGTGTGGAGAGCATCCTGGACCCCAGTTGGGTGGCCCCCATTCTGCACTTCCTGCTCAGCTTCCAAAGCTGACTTAGGACCGTACCCTCTCCAAAACTGAAAGTGGGGCTGGTGGACTATGCGGCTGTCTTCCACCTTCTTCGCCTCTTTTTTAGCAGCTGGACTCTGTTCCTTTGCAGCAGGCTGGCTGACCACCCCTACTGCGGCTCTCTCCTTGTCTTCAGGAGGGGAGGTTCTCTGTAACTTTGCTAAAGGTTTTTTGGGAAGTAGGGGTGTTCCTACCCCCTCCTTGGCTTGGGTTTTCAGAAGCTCCTCACACTCCCCCCCCCCTTCTTTTTTAAAAAAAGATTTCAAGCCAATTTCAGAACAAGAAGTTGGACCCTGGCCACCTCAGAGGCCTCAAGCAATGAGATGTTCGGGGGAAGGAGTGCAGGCTCCCCATAAAGAGGAGAAAGGCTGGTAAAGCACAGGACAGTGACGACTATGACTCCAGGAGAATCCTCTTTGCATCCTTTTCTCGGAGCACATTATGAGTTTCTCCTGTCTCAAGAATCTGAGATAGGAGACAAGGGCCTATACATTGATAAACACAATACTTACCTTGGAGTGGCCATGGGATAAGTGGTCAGAGATCTTCTGACCAGGATCCCTCCTGACTGTCAGGCCGCTCTGATTATTACTGTCTGCAATTTGAAATATTTTCTGGTTGTTTTCCTGAATATAAAGACTTATCAAGTGAATCTTGTATCCTTCTTCAAAGGATTTCCCTCCTTGCTCTTTCTTACCTGTTAACAACAGTGTCCTGTCTGGGCAACTGGGTCAGGAGGGTGGACAGCTTTGTATATGTAACAGGCAGTCCTCAGTGGGGAGACGGAAAAATGTAGCGTCTCTCAAATCTGTTCTTGAGTTATTTGACTTGTGCAGTGGTGCCATCCCTGCATCCTCAAGAGAAGAGAGATTGGGGAGAAGGTACTTTAGACCTCTGTTCCCCAATGACAAGAATCAAAAGTCTCCACCTCGCCACTCTGGTCTTGTGGGGATAATGGGGGCTGGAATCTCAGGCAGATTGTTGAATCCCCATTCCCCTTTTCCCCTTCTTTCCCCCTATCAGGTTGGTCTGTACCCAAGTAACTGTCTATATTAGACACCCCGACACCCCAACCCCCACCTGAAGCCAGTTTCTGGCCTTCTGTCTTTGCTGCCATTTTTTAAATAAGAAGGAAACAGAATTCTTGCTATTTTTTTCATGATTTACTATTTATGAAGTATTTAAGTGTTTTATTCAGGGCAGAGTTATTCTCTAGGGAGTGGGAGGGAAACAGGATATTAGAGGGAGGTCTGGGTCTCTATGGCAGGTGGAATTAGAAGGGAAGGGGACTCAACATTTCTATGAAGCGTCGCTATCTGCCTCCACTTTGTATTGTTCAAAAATGGCAAATGCATTATAAAATTATGAGTACCTGGTTTTAATGTATTAAAACTTTTATCAGTTATTTTAATCCCTTTTAAAAAGCTTTTTGTCTTCTTCCTTTCTGGTTCTCTTTTACCACTCTCCCTTCTACACACTTCGTTCAGGTGACCCCAAACTGTTGCCTTCCTTCTGTTGCCCTGAAACTCAGTCTGCCCTCTCCACATCCCCTTTTCCTGGCCTTAGCTGATTTCCAAACTTCTAGTAGAAGCTGCGTTAACCTTGTATTTCATGCCCCATTTTGTGTCAGGACACAGGTATGTGGGATGGATGGGTAGAGGGAGGAAAGTTTACTTCACTAAATGCTTGGGTTTCAAATGTTGGAATACTGTCTGGCCTCTTCCAAGGCTTCCTGTCCTGAATGGTCTCCCTTCTCCTCAGCCCAGTTTTCCTTTCCAGGGTACTCAGAGCATCTTCCTCTGCTGTGCTTTACCTGAGCTCTCACTACCTGCTTCGAATAGAACAGGTAGAGTGAAAGGAAAAGGGTGAGTTCCTTCTAACCTGTCCTAGGCATTGTATGAGCCAGGTTGAAAGCCACCACTGTCTTCTCTACAACACCCTTCAATAAGTATTGAACACTTAATTGTTTGTTCATCCTTCCTTCTTGAAGAGGACCATGACATCAGGAAGGGGATGCCATGACTTGTAAGTGAGTTAGATTTAAGTGAGGGAGGGCTGTGCAAAGTCACCAGCCTCACTTTCTTCTCTGGCACCATCTGGGTCCAATGGCAAGATATATGTCAGAATGATTGGTGATGGTCCTGGAGGCAGTGGGAGACCATGGCCTTTTAAAGCTAAGGTCTTTCCCAGGTCTCAGTTTGACTGATGCAAGCCCATTCGTTGATTAAGGCTAGGTAAGAAATGAGGCAAACAATGGTCTCTTACCTAGTTAAAAAAAAAATTATTTACACACATACATACTGAAATCTGGAAGGAGAAGACCATCAGGATTTCTGGCCAAAACAAAAACAATTGCTGTTTACACTCAGAGCAGTTAGGGACCCTATGGGCTTGGACTGGGACCTATGTTTGTCCAGTCGATGAGAACCAGAGTGATTTGGGTAAGATGTGGTCCTTAAGAAAGAAAGCTAGCCTATACACCCCAAGATATCTTGTGAGGTTTCAGTGATCAAGATTTACATTCTTTTGGGTAGAACACCTCACAGTTAAGGGTATGATACCCACTGTGGACAGAGGGAAAGGAGGAAGGAAGGAGTTGTGTTGCCCAACTGGAACTGGCCAGTTGGGTCCCCAGTGGGGCAGCTCATGCTACTCACAGGTGGTTGTTTGTCCTTCTTTCTGAAGAGGACCATGCCATCAGGAGCGATGTCATGACTGAACAGGTGAATTGGATTTAAGTAAGGAAGGGCTGTGCAAAGTCACCAGCCTTACTTTCTCCTCCGGAGCCACCTGGATCCAGTGGCGAGATATAAATCAGGACGACTGGAGATGGTCCAAAAGATAGGTTAAGAATTGAGGCAAAAGATGGACCAGTTTGCCTTCTCAAAAGAGTCAGTCTGGGAGGGGAGGACACACCTAATGTATGCATGATACACGTGACTTCAAAAACTTTACGATCTGATTGGGAAGCAAAAGACAGACAAAAATTAACTTTTAAATGAGAGAAGGCAATTTTTAAGTGCCCACGTTATGCTCTGTTAGACACCATTGTTGGCAAAAAAAAAATACTTGTTAGGACTTGATAGAAAGGTAAGGTTTCTAGTTGGGAAAGTAGTATGGCAGAGGTAGGTGGGAACTGGGCCTTGACAGACAACCTGGGTTTGAAGGTGAAAGGGTACGCTGAGGATAGATGTTCAGAGGGAACAATAAATGTGACACGGAAGAGGCTGATTGGATGGCTTGGAAAGGTAAGCCAGATCACTATGGGCTTTAATGCCAAGCTGAGAAGTTTGGACTTTATCCTGTAGACAATGGAAGGCTTTTGAGAAGGGAAAGAGATGTTCAAAGTTAACGAGGACACAAGGCTCAGGGGGGAGATAACAGTCTAGGATACCTTCATTCAGTGACTTAAGGTCTGCTAAGGACTTTATTGTCTTCATTTTACAAATTGGGAACTGACACTCTTTAAGAAGTTATTTGCCCCGTAGCCACACATCCATTGAGGGGAAGGATTCAAAACCAGGGTTCCCAACTCTCAAGTCCATTGTCCTCCCCACTACCCTTCACTACTTTTCAGGAAGGTGTTGCTGTGAAATTCAGGTGAGAAGTGATCGAGGCCATGGTGTGGTAGCATTGGTAATGGAAATGAAGGAACAGATTCCAAAGGATTCCAAATTCCAAAAGGATTTGGAGAAGAGTCCGCTGACTGGCAGACGGTAACTCAAGACACTTAACTAGGCATGTGTTCCTGGGCAGTTGAGTTTTTTCATCTTAAATTGAAATGATGTATAAATGCCAATTAATCGTTTTTTCTTGGTGCAGTGGCAAGGCTGCTCAATTTGGGTTCGGAGGACTTGGACTAGACTGTCCAGCTCTGCCACTTACCACTTGTATGACCCCAGGCAAATCTTGTCTTTATACTTCAGTTTCCCTCCTTTTACGGGTAAAGAATGAGTCTCAACAGCTCAAAACCTCTATTCTTTTTACTGTGTCCAGCCAAAGATGACTTGTCAGTTCAGGCCTCCCCCGCTGATTAGCTAAGGAGAAGCATTTTTCACTCTGAACAAATTAGGCTGAGGAAGTGCACTACTTACTTCAATTACTTTGACCTTGGGTTCCTTTTGTTAGTCTGCTTCTTAGTCTCCACGGGGGGCTTAGATGGGGTTTGGCCAACTCTAGGGAGTTTCTGCCTTGTGTCAGAGGAGCCCTCCAGTGGTCAGCAGTAGTACATGCTGTTTATTTGACTGTCATTCACAGTGCTGTCTGTGCAAAGGACTAAGTGCTAACATGTAATCTTGGGACTGATTAGCATGTGTAAAAATTAGGAAAATTAATACAGATCATGAAGATAAAAGAGTGGGAAACCTTTGAAAGATCATCTTGCTTTTACAGTGGAGGCTTTGCAACTTTTCCAGTGTTTTATATCTAAATTCTTATATCCAACCATAATTCCTCCTGAATTGACTTAAATCCATTTCCTTTTCAATCTTTCAAGGGCAGAAAACAACTTCTCATCCTCGTTAAAATCCCCAAGCGGTATGTATTTCATTATACTTTGGGTTTCTGCGTCCAGTGGAGACAATAGTCACCCTTTAGACTTCTCTAGGTTATTTTATTATAAACATTTTCTGTCTCTTTATATTTTAATCTTGTTTTTACTGATTTTTGTTTTGTTCTGTTTTTTACATTCCTTTTATTTTTTTATTGATCCTTTCCCCTCCTCTGCCTGTCATCCTTGGTAACAAAGATTTAAAAGGAAAGAAGGGGACAAAAGCTATTCTGCAAAAGCAACCAATATGGTAATAGTTCCCGACAATGTATGCAACATTCCACAACCAGTCGCCTCAACCCTTCAAAGAGGAAAGGGATGGGGCAGCTAGGTGGCGCAATGGATAGGCCACTGGCCCTGGAGTGAGTTCAAATGTGACCTCAGACCAAACATTTGACACGTACTAGCTGTGTGACCCTGGGCAAGTCACTTAACCCCAACTGTGTAAAAAAAAGAGAGAGAGAAGGACATGTGTTTCTTAACACTTCACTTAGGTGAAGTGAGCAGGAAGAGAACAATGACTACTGTTCAGAAGAAGAGAACTACCCTTCATAGCAACAATATTGTAAAAACAAGTAACTCTGGAACAGTTAAGAACTCTGATCAAGTCAATGACCAGCCACAATTCCCAGTGGACTCTTGATGAAATATACTTCCCATGTCCTGACAGGAAGGTGGTGGACTTGGAGTGTAGATTGAGACACATTTTTGGATATGTCAATGTGGAAATTCTGCTTGTTATTTGTCACAAGGAGTTTTTCTCTCTCTTTCAGGGTGATGGTGGTCAGGGAGAGAAGGTGGACTATGGTTAACTGAAAAAATAAAATTTAATTAAAAAAAACCTCTGGGGTCAAGTTTGGTGATTATAATTCCACAGTATCCACTTTTGTTGTCTGTCCCTTTATATATTGTTTTGTATATGTTATTTTCCTGGTTTTCCTTACTTCACTGTCAGTTCATGAGTTTTCCCATGCTTCTCTGAATTCTTCATATTTGTCATTTTTAATGATGTAGTAATTCCATTCATGTGTCACAGTTTATTTAGATATTCATTTCCCTAACTGATTCATCTCTGATTTAGCCTTGGGAAGAAACTAGGTGGGGTAGTGGATTGTGCTGGAATTGGAGTCTGAAAGACCCTATTCAAATCCTGTCTGAGGCTGTGTGGCCCGAGACAGATCACTCGACTCTTCTCAGGCTTATCTGTAAAATGGGGCTGGTAATAGCAGGTTGGTTGGTTGGTTTCCTTCATTTTTGAAGAGGACCCAAATGACATCACTATGTTGGAATCAAAATATGGTGTGTTTAACTGTGACTGATCAGAATAATAAGAACTTGGAAAGCTCTACCCACACGTTGGGCACAAAGAGTCCATGTGAACTTTTGGGGTGGAGATGTCTCTAAATTTTCACATCTCACATTTCACTGAGCTACTACAATTCTGCTTTACTCAGAGCACAGTGCCACCTTCGATGTGGGCACAACAATCTGGGTGGTCCTTTGCCACTGTCTCCCATGTCACACAATGGATTCCAGAGTTCTTAAGAGAGACCTTTAGAGTGTCCCTGTATGGCTTCTTCTGACCACCATGTGAGCACTTGCCTTAAAATAGTTTTTTAATCAAATGTACATTTGGCACTGGCTCTCACTGACTTGGCCAATAATGGGTCCCAGCCGGAGCCCAAGCCTTACTTGCTCATTGTTTGGCTTTTGATTGGCTCAGAGTGAGTGTAAATAGTAATTGTTTCTGTTCTGGCAAGAAATTCTTTGGGTCTTGCCCTCCCAGATTGATTCTTTTTTGAAATTGTGAAGGCAAACTAGATCATCTTTTGCCTCAATTTTTTTTTTTTTGGTAAGGCAGTTGGGGTTAAGTGACTTGCCCAGAGTCACACAGCTCGTGAGTGTTATGTGTCTGAGGCTGGATTTGAGTTGGGTCCTCCTGACTCCAGGGCCAGCTCAATTCTTAACCTAGCCTTTAATTACTGAATGGGAGTTGCCTCAGATAAACAGATCTGGGAAGACCCTAGCTTCAAAAGGCCAAGGTCTCCCACTGCATCCAGGGCCATGGCCAGACATCCTGACCTATGTCTTGCCACTGGACTCTGAATGACTCAGGAGGAGAGAGTGAAACTGATGACTTTGCAGAGCCCTGCCTCACTTAAATCCAGTTCACTTGCAAGTCAGGCCATCACCCTCCTGATGTCATTGGTCCTCTTCCAGAATGGAGTGACAACAACATTCGGCATTCAAACAATGTGGCCAGCCCATCAGAGTTGCTCTCTCGGCAGTAGAGTTTGAATGTTTGGCAGTTTAGCTCTAGAAAGGACTTCTGTCCAGTACCTTATCTTGCCAGGTGATCTTCAGAATCTTCCTGTGGCAATTCAAGTGAACACCTGGCATGGTGCTGGCAGACTGGGTTTGACAAACATACAACAATGAGGTCGGCACAATGGCTCTGTAGACCTTCAGGTTGGTAGGTAGCCTAATAATCTCCTCTCCCATACTTTTTCTTTGGAGCCTCCTAAACATTGAGCTAGCTCTGGCAATGTGTATGTCAACCTCCTCATCTTTGTATATGTAGCATACTGCCAGGATAAGTGAACTTATCCACAGCATTCAGTATTTCTCCATTTGCTACAACTGATGGTTCCGTGGATGAATTGCTGTGGTGCTGGCTGGTGGAGAACCTGGATTTTCTTTCATGTTAATTATTGGACCAAAATTAGCACAAGCAGCAGAGAATCGATCCATACTTTGTTACATCTTAGCCTCAGAGGCTGCATTGATCCTCAGACTGACCTTGTGAGCTAAGTACTGTTATCATTTTGCAGAAGAGAAAACAGGATGAAAGAGGTTAGATGATCTGGCCCAGGTCACACAGCTGGTAAGTGTTTTCAGTAGAATTCAAATTCATGTTTTCTAGACTTCAAGTCTAACACTGTACCTGTCTAGATAAAAGGCATCCTAACCAAAATTAACATTCAAGAGTGGCACAGTATTGGGTAGTCAATAAATAATTATTAAGTGCCTATTTGCCAGGCACTGTGCTAAGTGCTGGGGCTACAAATATGAAAAAAGACAGTCACTGCGCTCAAGGAACTTACAGTCTAGATGAGGAAGACAAAACACAAAAGGAAGCTGGAAAAGGTGAGAGGAGAAGATAGAGGGGCATGCTGGAAAAGTCAGAGGAATCCCAAAGTAATGCAGCCGAGTAAGAAATGAGAGGCATGGGCTGAACTCTCTCCTTAAACGGAGGTTTGGAGTTCATACCTCTACTTTCCAATCCCAGAGGCAAAGGCTAGTGATGAGATGGCTCCCAAGGCTGATGAGATCTTACAGGTTGATGAGATTAGCCGGAGAATAAGCCTCCTGGGGCATGATGGAAGTCAGAAGTCCAGAAGTACTGCAGCCAGGTGAGAAAAGAGCAGGGTAGGTGTGAATGTCCATTTACTTGCTTGGAAGGACCATGCCCATTGACGATATCACAGAAACCTTTGACTATTTCTTGTAGCCACTCTGTATCATCTCCAGTTCATACAGACTTAAAAATACGGCAAAAAGTAGACACATGATCTAATTAGGATCTGACCCAGGCAAAGTGTAGTGAAGAGATGTCATTGCCTTTTTAATGCATTTGTGCATTAAAACTACAGTTACAACTACAGTTGTCTTTTTTCAGATTTTTCAATAATGTTACTAACGACTTCTGAGCAATTATAATCTCTGGGGTTTTTTTTTGTTTTTGCTTTTTAGGCAATTGGGGTTAAGTGATTTGCCCAGGGTCACACAGCTAATAAGTGTCAAGTTTTTGGTCTGAGGTCGGTTTTGAACTCAGGTCCTCCTGGCTTAAGAGCCGGTGCTTTATCCACTGCGTCACCTAGCTGCACCTGGTTTGTTTTTTTAAACTGTACATGTACCTATCAATGTGCCTTGTAGTGTATTTGTATTTTCAGAGGTTTTGCCTTTGTCTCTACTGAATTCATTTTTAGGTAGAGCCAAGATGATTTTGCACTTTATTCTTGATTCATAAACTCCATTTTGGAAAAAATCTTCGAAGGCGAAGCATTATTTTTCTTCTTCAAGCTTTGAGGGTGAAGAATTTGAAGAACGGTGCCTGCAGCATTGCGGAAGGGGGTGGGGGGGGGGGCGCTGGCGCGGTACTCGCTCCTTTAAATTTCCTTAGCCTGCAACCAGCTCCACCTATTGTTTGGTCAGGATTAGGGTGCGGAAGAAGACCGTATCATTTGCGGCATCCCAAAGGAGATTATAACCCAGTCACCTATTTAAAAATATAGATATAGACCTGGAAAGGTGTCGGATTTCTAGGGCACAATGTTGCATCAAGGGGTGGTTACTGTATCGATATTTTTTGCCATTTTCCTTCGCTGAAAGGAGAAGGTTCACTATGAAGGGAGAAGGGTATTTCCAGAAATGACTGATGCAAAAACAAACGGTATAGAAAAAAGTGTTTTTTTTTTTTTTAACAGAAGTCCACATCCATCCGTTAGCCTCTCTTCCCTTTCCGTTTTTTTCTCTCTAGGAAGCACATCCAGTTCGTAAAAGCGGGGCAAACCGTACGGCTTTGAGCAGTTCCCTACAAGCAAGGTCAGGCCTGGAAACTGCATCCTCCCTAGAGAGCTAGCTTCGGAGCTCTGGGTTCCAGTCCAGCCTCTGACACATGCTGGCTGTGTGACCCTGGGCAAGTTACTTAAGGTCTCTGTGCCCTTGGCAGGGTGCTGACCTGCACTGGCAGAGGGAATTCCCTATACCAACGAAATGCCACGTCCAGTCCCCACCCCTCGCCTTCTGAACCGTCCACTACAGCGCAACTAGCCTGGAGAGGGCGAGGAGGAGCCCTTCTCTGGTCTCCGGGTTTCTGGTTACGTCACGAGCTTCTCTCTGCCGCCTCTCCCACTCCTGGCCTACAACTCCCAGAGAGCCCCGCGGCTCCCACTGTATAGCGCAAGCGCCTGACCCAGATAGGGCCCTGGGATTGGAGGGGCGGGTTAAGCCAATAGGATAAAGCATTGTTGGGTAGTCCAGAGGAGCCGGTCCCGGGGGAAGGAAGGCGGCAAGATGGTGTTGGAAAGCACTATGGTTTGGTAAGGGACCGGGTCCGGGGGCGACGGGAGGGAGCGGAGCGGGGCCGAGCGGGGAGCGCGAGGAGCCGCCGCCGGCGCCACCCGGGAGCGGGGACGAGGCTGCTGCGGCTCGTGCCGCGGCGGCCCCGGGCGGATTCCCTGAGTCATCCCGGGGCCCGGGAGGGCAGGCTGGAGGGGGCGGGAGAGGCCGGCCCGAGGGTCCGGGGCCCATCGCGGCGCTGCCGTGCGGCCCTTGCAGCCGAATCTGGGCCCCCTTCCCGGGCTTCCCTTCCCGTGCCTGCTCGGGCTGCAGCCCCGCTCCTGCTCGCGGGGGGCCGTGTACACAGAGGCCCGAGGAGCCGTCCCTGCCCCGGAGCCTTGTCACTTGATTGCAGGGACCAGAAATATACCCAGAAGCACGTCTGCCCCGGGAACGCTGCATCGGTGCTGAGTGGCGCTTATTGTGGTGGCTGGAGCAGGGTCGGCCGAGTTAGAGGACCGGGTTCTGATCCCCTCTTTGCACCGTGGACCGGTCACTCGGCCTTTCTGGTTTCCTCATCCGAGAGTTTTGATTCGATTATGAATTCACATAGGGGGACCTTCCTGAGGAGGCAGGTCTTAGAGGATGAAGAGGAGGGAGGGCTTTGCAAAAAGGGGACCCAGCGTGATCGAGGCGATGCCAAAGATTGAGAAGGAAGGTCTGTTGGCCATTCAAGGCTCCTCATAGCCTAGCCCCCTCCGACCTTTCCAGCCTCCTTACATCTCACTCACCGATAGGTATTCTTCGGTCCAGTGACACTCCATCTCTTGGCATTTTCTTTGGCAGTATCCCATACCTGGGAGTGCTGTACCCTCTTGGCCTTAAGTCCCAACTAAAATTCTACCTGCTGTTACCCCTCTCAATTTCAGTGCCTTTCCCCTGTTAATTCTTTCCTGTCTATCCTCTATGTAGCTTGCTTTTTATATATTTATTTGTATTTTGTCTTTCCTGTTAGATTGTAAGCTCATTGAGGGCAGGGACTATTTTGTGCCTCCTTTTGTATCCCTGATGCTTAGCACAGTGCTTGGCACGTAGTAGGCGCTTTAATAAATGTTTATTGAATTGAATTATAGGATGAGGAGGGCTTGGGGAAGAAGGAGGACCTGGCATGAGCAAAGAAGTGCCAAAGTTAATGTTGTCTTAAGGGAACAGAGTTGATGGAGTTGAGGAGTATGGTGGATTCCTGTTGGGAGTGATAAGAGTAGTAGTAAAAAGTGAAGAAGGGTCCAGATTGCAAAAGGTCTTGATTGTCAGAGTAAAGAGTTTGGACTTTATCTTATAGGTAATATGAAATCGTTGGTTTGAAGGTTCTTGACCAAGGTGAAATGACTGTGCAAGGTAGCTTTTTAGGAGGAGTAATATAGTAGCAGTTTGGTTGTATTAGAAAAGGGAAAGATTTGCAGCAGCAAGACAGTTCACTTCAGTGATGTGGGCTTAACAGTGGTTTTAACAGGAATGTAAAGGAACGGACAGCTGTGAGAAACTTAAAAGAATCCCACATAGCAGTGAGGGGCAGGAGAGTCAAAGATGCCTTTGAGCCTCAGTAACTCAAGGTAATTGACATAAATAGGAAAGTTCAGCTTTGTATGTTGGATTTTGAGGAAAGACGATGAGTTTAGTTTCATGCATCTATAGTTTGAAATGCTACAGGGCTCTCCTGGTACAGATTTCCAGTAGGTGCAGAAATGAAAGGAGAGAGGTGGCATTTGGTCAAGAATATGTATTTAATGTCTGCTGTGTAACTGTAGGAAAGCATTTTAAAAACTAGAATCTAGCCCCTGACCTAAAAGAGATTACAAGCTAATTTTGTTTAAGGTTAAACCTATCCTCTCATGCTGTGGCTTTCTTGAAGATGGGGAATATTTCTGTCTTCACTCTGTTATTGAGCCCCTCGCCTCATTTGGCTGTCTCTTTTCCATCCCTTCTCCATGTGTTCACTTTGTTCACAGTTCAGTTTTTTCCTTGTACTTAGTAGCCATTTGAATTGTTCCCAAAGCTTTTGTTTCTCCTTTCAAGGAATTTGGGTTCAGATTAATCCTGGAAGCTAGAGAAAGAACTCTTGTTCAAAATGCTTCTTACGCTTTTTGGGAGGATATAACTAATTGGGATCAGTGAGGTCTTAATTATCTTAATGTGACTTAACTGTTTTCTGGATTAGATTTAGCTCATTTTTAATCATGAAATTAAGGCTCTCTGAATGGAAAGGGACCTCAGAGGTCATGTATTCCAGCTCATTCCTAAACAGGAATTCCCTTTATACCATCTGATAGCGATCCATTCTCTGCTTAGAGATCCCCAGTGATGGAGAGCTCACTATCTGCCCATTCCATTTTTGGACAGTTCTTACTGTTAAGAAGTTTTCCTTCTATGAAACCTAAATTAGTCTCTACAGTTTCTTAGTTTTGTCCTTTATGGCCAAAGTAAGGAGTTTGGACTTCAGTTTGAAGGTTCTTGACCAAGATGAAACGATAGTGCGAGGTAGCTTTTTAGTAGGATTAATGTAGTGGCAGTTTGGACGTACAGGAGAAGGGAAGGAAAGTCATAGGATTTCAGAGTTGGAATGGACCTCTGCTGATACAGTCCAATAGTTCCAAAGTTTGATAATTTAAAAAAAAAATTGCAGCCTACCCCATGATACTAGTTTTACTGCTATTATGTATTGATTGAGAAAATATATGACAAAGTGCTACTGAATTCAGTAGCCTTCAAATTAATTTGTATTGTATTAATAACGGCATCTACATGCATTTTAAAAAGTTGTAATATATTTGTGAGGCATTCATCTACAGAAGGTGTATTTGCTTTTTTATGATACTGATGCATTTAATGTGGTGGCTGGTGCTACTTTTTAGTTCTCAGAAAAAGCTAGTTGAAATGATAAAAGTTTAAACCACAGATTTGGTTCCACAGCTAGCTTCTTTCAGTATTTAGATTTTAGTGCAACGTGTAAGAAATCCACTTTTGTAAGCGTATGTTGGAGGAAAAGGTATTTCACAGCCTTACCTGACAGAACTAACATCTAGCTAGAATTCAGCCTAGTAATTTTGTGTAAAGGTTACTTTTAAAGAATTGTCACGTGAAGGTTCCCGTAGACTGACTTGTTGGTTTGATGTGAGATCTGGGAGTGTGGTGTTACTAACATTTAGTGTAGATTTTTTTAATAAAGTTGTATCTTGAGTTAGGAGCTGTACTTGTGAATATGTCCCTGCATTTGCAGATCCCTTCTAATAACTGAATAATGTTTTGACTCTACAAGGGTCCACAGGTTGGGAATCATTGACTTAGTCTAACTTGAACCTACACGGTTATCTTCCTAACAACATCCTTGAGAATTGGTTATCTAGCCTTTGTTTAAAGACCTCAGGGAAATCCTACTATCTTCCAACATGGCCCATGATAGCCCTGTAGGTATTTGAAGAGAATGATCATATCTTCACCTACTCAAATGTCTTTTATCCAGTGAGACCCTTCCTAGCTTCTTTAATCTTGGGTACCTCTCAGATCAGTCCCTCTCCTGGGCCTCTCCACTCCACTGTTTCTTCTTTCTTCTGTTCTTTTCCCTCTGAGGCTTCTCGGCCTTTTTCCCACACCATTAGTGTGTGCTGAGTTAGTAGAAGCATTTTACTGTCAGGTGAGCCACAGCATTAGAACTTGTCCTGGACTCACTCCATCAAAGACAAATAGAAATGAATTTTGAATTCTCTTCCTACAGCATCCATCAGTTAGCTTAGATCATCAAGTGTGTGGACCACATTCATGTGCATGTTCCATTATGGGCCCAAAGCATTTGTATCCCTCACTGTGGTCTCTCTGTGGTCCTGGAGGATCGAAAGGGAGAAGATAAGGGGAAGCTTGGAAAACTCATACCCTTCCAACCTAATTTTCATAACTCGATTTGTCTGCCTTGTCTATCCCATCTTTTATCAAAGTTGCTGACTAAACTCCAAGTGACCAAGTGTAGAGAAGCAGCAATAGGACTGGACTTGTAGCAAAGTTCAGATCCCAGTTATGACAGTGACGAGGATCATAAGATTAGAGCTGGGAGGTGTTTTATAAAGGAGCAAACTCGGGCCCAGAGAGGCTACATGGGGTGTCCAAGGTGACACATGCAGGGGTGCCAGAGACTGGCTACGTGACCATCAGTGAGTCAGGTAACCTCTCAACCTCAGTTTCCTCATCAGTAAAATGGGAAGGATAAACGCTTATACCTGGTTCATAGGCATTGCATAGATTTGCTCTATTAGTATTTTTTTTTCTTTAGCTAGTTTGTATCTTATTTGTTTGTATTGGTATGTCTGCTGTTTTGCAGATATTCTTAAATTTTGCCTGCCTCTGGGAAGCTTCCCACTTAGTGAGAGACGTAGAACATTAACACATCAAAGACTTAAGAATGCCTAGAAAATAGTATTTGCGTTAGTACACCCTGTATATCCTAGTGCACAGGGGCTTAGGGGATGTTGAAGGGTCCCAGGAAGTAAGAAGGGTGATGTCTTAGGAATCAGACTTCCCAGGAACGTTGTTCATTCCCCACCCTGTGCTCTACTCCCACAGCGTTGACAACAGTGAGTACATGCGGAATGGGGATTTCCTGCCTACACGGTTGCAGGCCCAGCAGGATGCAGTCAACATAGTGTGTCACTCCAAGACACGAAGCAACCCCGAGAACAACGTGGGACTCATCACGCTGGCCAAGTACGGAGACTGGACTTGGGCTGTGGCACCGTTTTCCCATGAATCAGTCCATTTGTGGATCACCTGAAATGGGCTGCACACTCTCCCTTCTCCCATGTGTAAACAGAGAGAATTCTAACTCACTTTAATAGCCTAGACAAAACATAGTGAGATAAACTGGTTAGGGGAAGCCCGAGTTATAGTTTATTCCAGAAGCAATTAAGAATGCCTTTTGGATTATTGATGTCACTTTGTATTGACCACTGACAAGTGACCATTTCTCTAAACTAATTGTCATTGTGAAAATGGATTTGGAAAAGAGAGCTTAGACAGAGGGGGCAGGATTGAAACAGAAGGATAGACTAGGGGGCACCCCTTCCCAAGACGATGGGATTTCATTGGGCTGGCTCCCTTCCGAAAGTGGTCCTGTCAGCGAATCTGTGCTCATTAACTTCTGTGTGGAGAGTCCAATAATAGTACTTGAGTCCTAAGGGGATAATAAGGGGGAAAAGACAATCTCTGCACCTGGGAAGCTTCCTCTTCAGTGGAAGAGATTGGACACACATGCAAGTGAAAAATAAGTATAAATTATAGTAATCCTAAAAGGAAAAGATGATTGGAGCAGTTAGGAGGCATTTACGCTGGCCTGTATTCACTTGAGCTGTCTCTCCCCTTCCTAGTGACTGTGAGGTACTTACTACACTAACCCCTGACACTGGCCGAATTTTGTCCAAGCTCCACACAGTTCAACCCAAGGGCAAGATTACCTTCTGTATTGGCATTCGAGTTGCCCATGTAAGTGTGACAGACCTTCCTGGCTGTGGTTCCACGGGGCTTTCATACCAGTGTTTTTCTTTTTTCTTTTCCCCTGAGGTAATCTCCCCGTACTTCCCCAAATCAAGCAGGAGTGATCTAGAGGTGATCCAGAGATATTTAGCTTTGAAAATGGAAAAGCGTTGAGGTAGAGTCCAAGATTCAGGGAATGTGAGGAGTAGAGAATGACTTTGGAGTAGAAATACCAGCCTTTCCCAATGCCCAGAGTGTAAAAAGGGTGCTGGGGTTTAGACCTTGGGGAGATCTGGGACTTGGGAGAAGGAGAAGCAAGGCCAGTGAGATCTCCTTTCCTAGAAACCATAAGAAAGGTCCCCTTTTCTGGGCAGGGGGGTGATTCAGTGGGCGGGCAATGATCCCTGGGTTGTCTCTGAGATTAGGATTCCTTTTTCCCTCTACAAGTTGGCTCTGAAACACAGACAAGGCAAGAATCACAAGATGCGGATCATTGCTTTTGTGGGCAGCCCAGTGGAAGACAACGAGAAGGACGTGAGTCTAGCCAGGGGACAGGGACGGGGATGGGGATGGGGATCTGGAAGATCAGAACATTTCTGGGGGTGTTTGGGACTGTGGACCTTAGCGTATAGCTTAGATGGCAGTGAGGATCTACTTGGATGGGTGAGACTTCCCCCATGGAGCTGCTCGATGTATATCTGGATACTCATGTTCCCTCAGGCCTGGAGAGGGGACAGTTAGGGTGAGAGGGCCCTGTTTGTCTGGAGCGGGGCTCTTCTCAGGAGGTGAGAAGAACAGGCAGTGCATACTAAGAGGCAGTATGGAGTTGGGGGAGGAGGGCAAGGCTTGAAGTGAAGAGACACAGACTCATATCCTAGTTTTGCGACTTAGCAGTGTGACAGTTAATCCCTCTGAGCCTTAGTTTCCTCATTTTTAATATCAGGAAAGTAATTATAGCTAACATTTATAAAAGACTTTACATTTATTATTTCATTTAGTTAGTAATGTTCCTGCCCCCTACCTCACAGGTTGTTTTGGAGAGAGCCCTTTGTAAATCTCGAAGTGCTATATGAATGTGAGTTGTTATTTATTTTATTTATCTTCCATTTTCCCAACTCCCTTTGTAGCTGGTGAAGCTAGCAAAACGGCTGAAGAAAGAGAAAGTGAATGTTGACATTATCAACTTTGGGGAGGAGGTAAGTGGGGGGCAATTGGGGACCTGACTTGAACAGACCAACAGGGAAGAATCGTCGGGGTAGTGAAGAGATTCCTTATTTAGAGCTGTAGGATGGGACACGACAGTGGGAAGGACGATGTTTCCCTAGTGAGATTAGCGAGCCCATATTGTTCTTCTCCCCAGGAGGCAAACACAGACAAACTGACAGCCTTCGTGAACACACTAAACGGCAAGGATGGCACCGGTTCGCATCTGGTGACGGTGCCCCCTGGGCCCAGCCTGGCTGATGCCCTCATCAGCTCCCCTATCCTGGCTGGAGAAGGTGGTGCCATGCTGGGGCTAGGGGCTAGCGACTTCGAGTTTGGGGTGGATCCCAGTGCCGATCCTGAGCTGGCCCTGGTAAGGGGGCAAGCCCCGATCCCACACAAACCCCCACTGTCCCTGATACTCATACTTCTTGCAGCATCTCTAGGACTCCTAATCATTCATTCAACAGATATTCCTTGTATACCTACTAAGTGCAAGGCACTGCTTGTATTTCCGTCTCTTTCCCCCACACCCCTTAAACCCCCACTCTCTTTCTGATTATCCAGTCTTTGGAGGCTCTAATCTCAGGTTACTTCTTTGAGCCAGTTTCCTCTGGTCCTTATAATTTGGCCCCAAACATTCACCTGATCCCCTTGTCATACTACCCAGTTGTCCTTTTCAGCCTTTTCCCTGGGACACAGACCAGAATCCACTCTTTTATGCTCTTGCTCTAGAGCTCCATGTACTTTTCCTAGAGCTGGAGGAGGTAGGAAACTAACTTGTGCCCTCCCCTCCTCCCCTCAGGCCCTTCGTGTATCTATGGAAGAACAGCGACAGAGGCAAGAGGAGGAGGCCAGACGGGCAGCAGCGGCCTCTGCTGCCGAGGCAGGGATTGCCACAGCTGGGACCGAAGGTGGGGGTGAGACATGGGTACCTAAGGCTGGGTAGGCTGGAGACCAGGAAGAGGGCAGTATGACAGAATGGAGGTACCAGGATATGGGAGAGAAGATCTGGTGCCAACAGATCATTCTAAAAAGCCAGGCAGAAGCCTGGGGCAAGGGCACACTCTCAACTCCTTGGTTTTCCTCCCCCAATTCCTCAGATTCAGATGACGCCCTGCTGAAGATGACCATTGGTCAGCAGGAGTTTGGTCGAAGTGGGCTCCCTGACTTGAGCAGCATGACTGAAGAAGAGCAGATTGCGTACGCCATGCAGATGTCCTTGCAGGGAGCTGGTGAGTGAAGGACGGGAAGCAGAGGGGACATGGACAAAGGGCACAGGGAGGGTGCTGACCAAAGGGACCTCTCTTTTCCAGAGTTTGGTCAAGCAGAGTCAGGTGACATTGATGCCAGCTCAGCCATGGATACCTCTGAGCCTGCCAAGGTAAGGGTTGGCCTTTTGCCTCCAACTCCCTGGAAACTCGTTAGCATCTAAATCTAGGCTCCGATTCTAGCCTCCCCCCACCTAGTCCATAATCATCTTGTACTACCCCTGGAGAATCCTGGCATTCTCCTAAGGCTTGCTTATTCTTAGTATTCTTAACTGTGGGAAGTCGTGGAAAAGCAAAGACATTCTTGCTGAGTGGAAAAGACACAGGGAACTTGGTCTTAGGGAAGGGAGCAGGAGAATCCTGTTTTCTCTCTTGCTGAGAGGAGCACATTAGACAGTTCTTAGAAGAAGCAGATTTGTTTGAATATGAAAAGGGAGCCAGGGTGGCAAATTATCTGTGTCCCGGGGATTCTGTCTTCCTTTGGCCAGGGATGTCCCTCTTGCCTAGGCACATTCAGGGGTAGGAAAGGAACCTAGGGACCAGACATAGTCTCCCTGCCCCAAGATTAACATTGTCATTTCCCTAGGAGGAAGATGATTATGATGTGATGCAAGACCCTGAGTTCCTGCAGAGTGTCCTGGAGAATCTGCCAGGCGTGGACCCCAACAATGAGGCCATACGAAATGCCATGGGGTCACTGGCCTCACAAGCTACTAAGGATGGCAAGAAGGAAAAGAAAGAGGAGGACAAGAAGTGAGGCCAGAGGGCAGGAGGGCTTGGTCTCCCCAAATGGGGCTGAGAAGGTTGTGGGGGGAGTTGTTGCGTAGTGTTTAGGTGAAGCTCTTGTGTAACAGTTAACAACCGAAATAAAGTTTGGTGATTTTTTTTTCCCTTAAAACCAAAACTACCACTTTGGGTGAGGGGAAGGGCTGCACACCAGGAAAAAGGGGATTGTTGGCTGCCTGGGGCCTCTGTGGCGTGTTCACTGTCGGAAATAGATAAAGGAGCCAGGAAGTGAGGCGAGCTGATCAGGGAGCTCTGTTCCTGGGGTAGAAGAAACGGAAGTTTGCCAAACAAAACAGATGTGGACTTCAAGTCAGTAGCAGATCCAGTCTTAGGAGGATTCATGGAATTTAGAGCTGGAGCCCTTCACTGTACGAATGAAGAAACTGAAACCCAGACATAGTTAAGGACTTGCTCAAGAGCACGGTCACTGAACTAGGATTCACCCTTTGGGGCCCACTGACCCCAAAGTCTGCTCTTTTGGTTACAACACATTGTCCTTTCCCCCCCCCCCAACGCTGCTTGTTACTGTGGACAGTGACTACCCCACGTGGCCATCCCTGGCAATGGCCACATCTAGGGATTCTGCCCAACCTGACAGCTCATTCCAGGACTTGAGATTGGTTCAAACTTGTCAAGTGAGGGCTCAGAACAATTTTTTATAATTTCTGCATTTTAGCTAGTCCTGGCCCAGCCACACCTCATATCCCCAGTCATGTAAGCTGCAGTATCAGAACATAGAAGCCGTTTCCCTGCCTCCCTCCTTTGCCATTTTTTCACTATTTGTTTCTCTCTTTTTTTCATTTGTTCCTTCTTTGGGCAATGCATAGGTGAGGCTGGAGAGCTCAGATGGCTTCTTTCAATCTGTCATGTTACACTGAGAGGACATAACAGGCATGGCCCTTCCCCTAAGAATTAAAGGAATTGTGGTGTGGGATTGGGAAGCTCTAACATAGGCCCATAGGGCAGTTGGCTGGGGAGCCTGTGGTGGCTAGTGATTTTCTTCCTTAGACTATTGATGTTCTGTCACATGCATGTGAAGTTCTTTCCTTGGGTAGTGGAGAAGAGTCACGATTTTTGTCTTTGCATCAGTGGTATAATGCTGCACATTCCAAATTGGGCAGAACTGGATGGTGAGGACATTTGTCATGTAAGATGGCCGGGGCGGGGGGAGGTGACTTTGTACCCACGGTGCCCGGCACATCTTTTTCTTACCACAGATGGCCATCAAAGACAGGCAGCGTTATGCAGTGGGTAGAGCTTGACTGTGCTTGCTGAGTGATCCTGAGCAAATCACTCCAGTACTTCATGCCAGCTCAAGCTATAATTTGCAGAGGAGATGTTGACTTGCATTAGTAGAAGGAGTTTTCTCCCCACAAAGCTTCCTTTCCCAGGATTATCAGGATCCAGGCCTTATTCCTATCTCCATTACCAAAGTTTCAAGTCAGGATATTGGTAGTTTCATGCCAGTGGCTTCTCTATAGTCATGAGCATTTTCAATCTCACGCCAATCCATGCCTGCCATTAATAACTGACATTTAGAGCTTTAAAGTTTGCAAAGGATTTCACACACATCATCTCTTGATCCTCACAACAGCCTTGGGAAGTAGGTACAATTGTCATCTCCATCTTATAGATGAAACTGGGAATCGTGGTTACAGCTTGCCCATGGTCACATGACTATCAAGTAGCTGATGGGAAATGCAACTCCTTATCTCTTACCAACTACACAACACTCTCCAAGTCGCCCCCTTTCCTGCGCGCCCCAAATATGTATACTTCATCCATTCAAGGTACCCAGAGTTGGGCTCTGTGGAGACTGCCCATTCTGGCTTCTCTTCCCTGTTCCCATCTCTCTCCAAGCCCTTAGTACCAGCACTGAGGGGTTCCCTGGGCTGAAGTCAGACCGTCCTGGAGCAGCTCAGGTTAGCAAAGAAGGGATTGTTTGCACTGGGAGGGGAAAGTCTCAAAGATCCAAACTGAAGGGGAAAAGAAGTGATGAAGTCTTCAGTTTATACAGGTCGTGATGAGGAGAGAGGCTCTTTACAAACTAAAAGGAATTCGATTTGATATTTTTGCACAGAAGATTTGACTATATGGTATTTTATGTAGGACAGAAAGCCTTGTGTACAATGTCAAAAAGGAATGGAAAAAATAAATCCTTTTTAGTAAGTATACAGTCCAATATTTTGTTCTGAAAAGGGAGAGAGAGCTTTATAGGGGTTGTACCGTAACAGAAAATGACATGTGAAATGACAAAATCAATAAAATTTTAAAAAATCTTTGCAGTAATAAATGCTTATTGGATATATCTGATAAAAATCTGACATCCAGCATCTATCAGGAATTTACCAACATTTATGTTAAAATCTATTTCTGGGTACTAACTTGCAGTTTTGGAAGGAAGAAACATAACTTGTCAGTGATCACCTGAAAAAAAATGCCAAGCTTTCAAACTACTCTGGCATATCACTTTAACTGTTGAGACTTAATTATTAAAAGTAAAATTAAGTAATTGTGGGGATGTGGGAAAATGGGCACCCTATTAAACTACTCATGGAGTTGTGAAATTAGTGTGGTTTTTTTGGAAAGCAATATGGCATACAGTAAGTTCCAAAACTGGCAGCTACATGGCACAGTGGATACGTCATCAACTAGGCCTTTAGTCAAGAAGACCTGAGTTCAAATGGGCCTCATGCTAGCTGTGTGACCCTGGGAAGTCACCTGTTTGCCTCAATTTCCTCATCTGTAAAATAAGCTGGAGAAGGAAATGGCAAAACATTCCAATTTCTTGGCCAAGAAAACCCCAAATGGAGTCACAAAGAGTTGTTCATAACTGAACAACAAAAGTTCCAAAAAACTATTAATACTTTTTGACCTAGTGATCCTATTAGACCTATACACTAAATATGTTATTGAAGGGGGGGAAACCCTTTTATGTACATAAGAATAACTTTACTTAAAATAGCATCAATTAGGAACAATACATATCTCCATTGATTAGGAAATGATTGAGAAAACTGGTAAATTAATATGGAATATTATTGTGCCATTAAGAAAAGAGAAGTATGAAGAATACAAATGTAGAAAGAACATGAAGTGATATAAAGTGAAAAAATCAGAACAACGTGTACCCTGACTACTAACAAAACAAAAAAATATACAGAAATAAAAGAACAGAAGGGGACTTGGTAGCAGATGGGATACACTTTTTCTTGCTGTTTTGTCGAAGTTAATATGCACTTTTTAAAAAAAGTAAATATAAATGTATTATCCTAAATTTTTTGTTTATTTAAAGGTTTGTTATTTTTTTTTTTTTGGCTAGGCAATGGGATTAAGTAACTTGCCCAGGGTCACACAGCTAGTAAGTGTTAGGTGTTTGATGCCGGATTTGAACTCAGGTCCTCCTGAATCCAGGGCTAGTGCTCTATCTGCTTTGCTCCCTAGCTGCCTCTTATTCCAAGGTTTGTTGGTGGTTACAGTTTGGAATAAAAACATTTTAATGATTTCAATGCAGACATTACCTCCTCACCCTAATAAGGTCAGGATTTCTTTCAACGTGTCTTCTAACCTAGGCTTGGGAGTCTTAGGTGTTGGGGAAAGTCTCAGGATGCCAGTTTAGTATGTGTCCATTTTAATACTCCTCTGAGGACCAGGCCCTGAAACAAATGTTTTTATAGATAAGAAACTTGAAAATCTCTAGATTCGGGTTCTATCTATACTCCCATTCAAATACAATTTCTAAGGGCCACTGGCCAGAATGCAGAAGAATAGCAACTGATTTTGTTGATGGCAGGTTTTCATAACAAAGGTGGCTTCCACTGTACCCAGAATTCATTTGCATGTAAATCTGTGTGCTGGGAGCTTAGGGGGTTCCTCAGCCCCCACACACAATTCGGGTATGATTTTAAGGGAAGTCTAGTGAGGGAACTCAATGATAATTTTGTATCCCCAGCACTGAGCATGCAAACATATACAGAGCAAGCAATATGTAGGATAAATAGGAAATAATTAACAGAGGGAAGGCACTGGAATTAAGAGGGGCTGGAGAAGGCTTCCCGTAGAAGGTGGGATTTTGTTATGACCTAAAAGAAGCCAGAGAGGTCAATAGTCATGGTGGAGGAAGGAGAGTGTTCCAGGCATGAGGAAAAAGCAGGTAGAATGTCCAGAACCTTGTTGCTGGAACAGGCAGGGAGCCAGTGTTACTGGAAGAGTATGGGGTGTAAGAAGATTGGAAAGGTAGGAGGGGACAAGGATATGAAGGGCTTTGAAAGCCAAACAGATCATTTTGTATTTCCTCCTGGAGCCACTAGGATTTATTGAATAAGGGGGTGACATGATCAGAGCTGTGCTTTAGGAAAATTATTTTAATGGCTAAATGGAGAATGAATTGGAATGGGGAGAGACCTGAGGCAGGCAGGCAGACCCTTGAGTAGGCTACTGCAATTGTCAACCATCACTAAGTTCGTTCTTAGAAAGACAAACAAAACTAGTCTGAATATGAATGTTTATTTCTCTCAAAGCTTGTGAAACATGCATACAGAGATATGCATGGGAGCTCATCGTGAGACAGTGTACCCAAAGATGGACAAACAGAGGATTTTTATAAGTTCAGAGCAATTACTTCTCACCCCTCCCTCCCTTCCTGGCTCAGGATGCCTATGTCAGCCAAAATTATGGTCTCCAAAAGTTTAACCATGATATGAGAAAGGAATTTCTTAAGTGAATAAGTTGTAGAAACAAGAAGATAGGAAAATGTCAAAGTGTCAACTGAAATTACAGATCCAGGATATCTGTGTTTCTTTTACCATTATCATTTTACCATTAACATTTACCATTAACTTTTATCATTAACAAAATGATATAACATAGTGTTTGTCCATAAAACATTAAGATAAGAAAAGTCCCACTATTCAAGACAGTGTCCGTTCCCAGGCAACCTGTCCTTGTTGGCTATAAACAGAAGAATGCTGGTCAGCTTCATCTGGTCTTGTAGTCACTGACACAGGAAGGGACATTTTGAGTTCACTCAGAGAGCAATGCAATGCAAAGCATTAGGGTAGATTAAGCCCAGAGCTGGCCGAAATGTCTCTACTAATTGGCCAATCCAGGTTT